ATTAAACAAGGATGTATATTATTAGTGTACCATATACAGTGACTTTATAATTGGAAAAGGGACTTTATGTTCATGAACTATAATTATCTTGTTAGAACAAATTGGATTTTGATGTTGGTACAATGAACTATAATTTTGTAAATCATTTTGTAATGCAATTGATCAGAATAGACCAATCAAGCTCATCGATACTAAGTAATAAAATCTGAACAGAAACGTAAGTTACTATTAAGATTCTTGATTAAGAGTAATAAAATTGGGAACTTTGAAGTAGATAAGTAAAAGAACCTAGGGCTAGAACTCCTGTGGTGCAGAGATGCATGGTGACTGAGTCCATAAATATTATTAATGAAGGTATACCTGGATTGGAGGGTGGTGCCATGTTGGGGTTCATAGGTCAACGGACAGACCTACGGACTAAGCGTAGGTGGTATGGCAATGTTAAGTCAGCAAATGAAAAGTACTTTTATATCCGGGACCATGAATACCCGCTGAGCACAAAATATCCTGTTTTGCCGGAAAACGGCACTTTTTCTATTCTCTTTTCTTTGACTCTTTTGAAATACTTTTTGGACTAAATTTTTTTTTTTGGACATCACCTTAATTATTACTTTTGGTGTTTTATAGTTCTACGCTCTTCGGGAATCTTTGGGACGGATCTTTAAAACTTTTGCTGCAACTAGAGTATTGGTCTATTCTGGTGAAATTTCAGAAACAAGCATATAAAAATCTATACGATCACGGTTGTTTAATAATCTTTTCAAAAAAAAAACTTACAAACTTTGTCATTGGCTTACACTGTCCGTCCGTTACGCTTGGGGGTACCCATCTCTTATCCGCAACTCACATATATCACTGAATAAAATTTTATGCGACTTTCACAGAATCTTTATTCCATAATGCTATTGTGCACCCTTCATTGTACGTACAGACACATGTTTGGGTTTCCCATAGCAAATCATGGACACTGCCATTTTTTTTTCTATAATATTGGGGGTACCTATCTTTTATCTGCAACTCTTCCTATACACTGAATTCTTACAGGATTCTTTCCCAGAATCTTTATTATATAGTGCCATTGTGCATCTCCCATTTTAAGATTTGATCGGACACATATTTGGGGTTTCTCATGGCAAAAAATTTGGTTTTTGACATTATACTTATATGGGAGCTCTAGCTGGGGGTATCATTTTTGACCTTATTGCTCGCAGTACCTCTAATTTCATTAAAAATAATTTCAACTATTGTGATGTTTAATAAAAGTACTTCTTTTACAAGAATATAATAAATTAAATGTGACTATCCAGAATCCATTACTTTTATGAATCATGGGATGAAAATGCTTCATTTCTACATAATTTGTTTATTTCCATAAAGAAGGGGAAAAGTACGTTTAAATTAATGGATCCATCACCAAGAAGACAGTCTAAACTCTTTACCTTAATAATAAGCTAATGGTTTTCTGAAATAAATCATATGATGATTAAGATGAACACAATTTAGGCATCTCTTTGTGGGGCTAAATTTGATAGAAGTGGTCATCTATAAAGTTATCCAAATGACAGACTTGATCATGATGTGCGGATTCAGGAATTTTTCCCGGGGAAGAGGGGCCACACCCACTTACCACCTTACAAGGAATATGTTTTTCCTCGGAGGGGTCCAAACGAAGTCAGTTCTGGGTTACTTTACTTTGTCAATTTAAAAACTCTAAAAATCACAGGAGTGGGGCAGGCCCATCCCAAGAAATTCTGCGCATTTTCTCCGATTTAGATTTAGACAGAACTTTATCAAAGCGCAATTAACCCTGATCTTTGATATTCCCATAAGTTCGGTGCGACTCTATTTATATCTGCAGCTTTGAGGAAGGGATCCTAAATTTTACATGTTTAAACTTAACAGAAGGTACTAAACAATAGGAGGCTTTCAATCTCTTTTCTCCTTTTTTTTTTTTGGGGGGGGGGTGTTCTTTATATGTTGTGCTCTGAAATAAAAATCGATAATAAAAAAAAAGGAATAAAAAAAATGAAATTAAATAAATATAAAAATATCAGGCTAATTGGTCACTGAATATTTAGAGGCCTTTCTACTTTCTAGAGATGTTACATATAATTTGATTGAAAAAAGAAGAAGAAACCGCAAGAAAATTTATAAAAACCAAAAATTCTCTTTTAATAAACATCGGGTACGGTGGACATTTTTGTTTGTTTGTTATGGAAAGTAGTGCCAATCAAAGCACGCAAGAAAATAACTTGTGTGCTTTGATTGGTGTAAAATAAAAATGCCGATTTTCTGATAAACTTCTTATTTGGGCTGTTTCATATGTTAAATGAATCAAGATAATCAGTTTAGAGCCTATGAAACAGATACGACCTACAGTGGCGAGACTGTTTGTAAATATGGAGAAAAAAAAACTTAGAGAAGGTTGGGTTCGGGACATAAAATTCAAATAAGTATTTCTGTGGGTTGAATTGAATACGACTAGCATAAATTAAATTTCAAATATGCATTTTAAAAAGAAAAACCTGACAATGAAAACTTGAAATGATATTTAATACATGTAACAGAAGCTGAAGAACTTTTGATCCACCTCTCAAAGCTGTTGCCATCAGTTGTCTCGAATCACTCTCAGGGGTATATAAGTGATCAGCGTTAATTGCACTTTTATTGAGTTCAAGCCAAAGCTTTACCGGACGAGTTTTCTTGCCATTTGGACAGTAAATGACCTTTTGTTTTGGCGCGTGTCAGATTTTTTTGGAAGACCCCCCCAACTTTTGAAAACCGTTTCTACTAATTAAAGGGCCTGTGGGGGTCCGGAAACTATCCCCCCTTCTCGCATGAGACTTATCTCTCTTATCAGAGGGTCAATGAACCTTAAGCTAAAAGTCTTTAAAATGTAATTTCGAGGATTTTGAACGCAACCATGTTTAACAAAGCGATTACAAGAAAGCGCATACCATTTCTTTAGAGATGATCAATTCATTACGAACTCGTACGTATACATAGCGTCATTTTTCAAAGGGGAGGGGGTATAACAAATGATTGAAAAGATGCTTGATAGCTGAAAAACTTTGACAAGCAGAAAAGAAGAAGAAAGAGAAAACGAAAAGTCTGTCCAAAATGGATTTGTAAACAATTTACTTTTCGAAAAAAAAAGTTTGATCATTCTTCAACCAAAAACGGATGGGAGAGGGGGATCGGACTTTCAATGAAAAATTCCATCCTAAATTTAAAAAAAGATTTATCTAAAATAAGTAGGGAACCCTCCACCCCACCCCCGATGCCATATATATGCCTATATAACATTAGTAATGACAAGTGTGGATTATCAGTACTTTGATTTATATGTACTTCCTCTGTGTTTTATTTTTATTATGCAGAAATTGTTATATCAATCCGCAGAATTGTGTGTACCACTAATGAATACATTAGATATCTTTTTATTAATTACCTTTTACTTTTATGAAATTATAATACACAAAAATGTATCTTATTGTAAATCAGTGGTTGAAAATTGAAAAGGCGTCGGTAACTGAAACGGATTATTTTAGAGCGGATGTGTTGTAAATTAATCTACATGTTATTTGGTCATAAAATGGTTCAGATGGCACGTACTTGCGTTAACGCTAGGAAATACTTGAAAAATTGTATTTAGCATCGTTTTTAATCGGTAACGTATTTTCACACATTCTTATATTTTATTGAAGTTTAAAAAAATTACTTTTCCTCAAGGCATTTGATCTGTCACTGTTATGAAATGAATACAGACCCTGTTTTTGAAACTGTGTCGTCAGACAAATTGTTGGTGCCGAAAATAGATAATTTACGCCAAAGTCATTTCATTTGTGGTGAGATCTTTGTCAAAATGCGTCATTTTTAGTTGATAACGTATCGAATTATTAAATTTTTGGATATATTCTTGCGTACACCAGTAGTTGATGTATCGTCTGGGACTAAGTTGGTTTGTTTCCGCCATGTTGTAAATATACAGAATGCAGACTTCCTGTTGACTAGTGGAATGCTCTAACATCAAATTAAAAGGCGCAGCGGTGTTATATTGCTGTTATAGTATTGCTTAGATATAATTTGGTGTGGTATGAGATGTGACAACATGCATTAGATTGCTCTCTCTCACTAGAAGCCACTGTCAGGACAATGTCCTTGACACTGACGGAACTACTTTTCTCATAAGAAGCCAGTTCGGCCTGTCCCGAATGTCAGAATAGAAAGTATGATTATCAAATCAGGGCCCTTTCAGACATCACAAATAACCAGAATGCTTGATACAATTACAAACAAGCACAGACAAATTATATGTATAAAAATTATCTGCAGTGCAATTTTTTTTCTTAATTTAGAGACTTTCCCAAAACAGTTTTTCTTTAAAATTCTTACATGTTATTGAGATTTAAGCATTATTTACAGGAGCATGTTAATTAAGCAAATTCCAGGAATATTTAGACATAAGAATATCAAGCTTGATGTCATTCTGGGGCATAGGCAAAATGTGCTTGATGATTTTTTTTTTATTTTGGTGTCAACCAAAAAATTTGGTTTTGCATATTTCTGGACCTGTAAAGTAAAAAAAATGTCTTTGACACACACACACCCCTTTTGAAAACACAGACCCCTGATGAAATGGTAAAGAGACTCAAGAGAGTCATTTATGTGTGTGAAGAAAAACGACTTGTCTTACCCTTCCTCCACAAAATAGTCTTTTCGGGTTTAGACAAAAAATTCTGAGTTGAATTTAGATACAGGAAAATGTACTTTAAGAAAACTTGAATTATTATTAAAATAATCCAGCTAATATTTAAAACTAATATTGCCAGTGTAAAAAATTGTTTTTGCCAGGTATGAATTGTTATCAAAATAGAACAAAGTTACTGACCATTTCTTCTGTTAAATAATGTCAACATACTTTAATATGTATATAAATATGTCTTGTGAACTGCTTGAAACTAATTTTCAGAAAATTAACAGTAATATTGGTCTTATTTTAGATAAATGAGAAAATGGAGTCTTCAAGTGGAGGTAACAGCATACCTAAAATCATGGTGTTTCGGCCCACGATGGAGGAATTTAAAGACTTCACTAAGTACATAGAGTACATGGAATCATGTGGAGCTCATAAAGCTGGGGTCGCAAAGGTTTGTTAATTAACAAGCTTATGATTCTAAAAACTTGAAGACTACAAGAATAGTCTCCACTTTAAATAAGTGGCTACGTTATTTGTTATACACTATCGTATTTGTACATTTATGTAGCAAAATGAGATCCTTATAAATTGATGATTTTTTTTCCTTCAATATTAAAGGTCATCCCTCCTCCGGAGTGGTCCCCAAGGAGAAGTGGGTATGATGACATTGATATCACCATACCAGCACCAATAAATCAGGTTGTCACTGGTTGTCAAGGTCTCTATCAACAGTTCAACGTGCAAAAGAAAGCCATTCATTGTAAAGATTTTGAAAAGTTGGCGAATAGTGACAGGTGTGTTGTGAAATCCAACTCAATATCTCTTGAAATTTTGCAGGTTCACCTACTGTAATTCACTTTTTATTCGCGAGAACTGTATTTTCACGCAATTACTCAAGACGACCTGCTAGTGAAAATTTCATTCTTGTGTATATTTTCATTAGTATAGAGCATATACAACAGAACCCAGAATTCGTGAAAACTTTATCTCGCTTATAAATACCAAATACCTGTCTCGCAAAAATAAGGTGTCGCGAAAATCTAGTGATTAACAGTATAATAAATGCATTTTGTTTAGTTTTTTTTTTTTAATTTTTATTTATATTGTAGGTATCGAACACCAAGACATTTTGATTATGAAGAACTAGAAAGGAAATACTGGAAAAATATCACATTTGTGAATCCTATCTATGGGGCAGATATTTCTGGCTCCTTATATGATACAGATCAGGACTACTGGAATATCAACAGACTGGGTACTATACTTGATTATGTGAATGGTGATTATGGAATCAAGATCGAAGGTGTTAACACTGCCTATCTCTATTTTGGGATGTGGAAGACAACTTTTCCATGGCATACAGAGGACATGGACTTGTATAGTATTAACTATGTTCATTTTGGAGCACCCAAATCCTGGTATGCCATCCCCCCAGAACATGGAAGAAGACTGGAAAGACTAGCTCAAGGTATTAATGGACCATTTGTGAAATATATAATTTCACCACAATACTGTTATATTAACTTTTTATTTCTTTTTTTTTCTTTTCATTGTTTTGTTTTAGTTAATTATTTTTGGTAAATTTAATCTTTTGCTCTTTTTCTGTGTATTTTCAACATGAAAAATAATTCTTATTTGAAAATTATCATGTCTTTATATTTTAGGATTTTTCCCAAGCAGTTTTCAGTCATGTCCTGCTTTTCTGAGGCACAAAATGACATTGATTTCACCAGCAATTTTAAAACAGTACTCTATCCCCTTTAACAAGGTATTTTTATATTCAGTAATAAGATCATGAAATCTCTTGCATATAAGAAAAATAAAAAGACATATCCTAGAGCAGGATTTAGTTAGAAAGTGGTAAGAATTTCTATAAAAAATTCAAATATGGATGAGTGACTAAAAGTTTGGATTCTTCTGTTTATCTTTTTGCAGATAACACAGGAGGCTGGGGAGTTTATGATAACTTTTCCCTATGGCTACCATGCAGGGTACAATCATGGATTTAACTGTGCAGAATCCACCAATTTTGCTACAAAGAGATGGATTGAATATGGAAAAAGATGCTTACAAGTAATCTTTTAATTGAAAATTAAATGAGCCTGATGATACAGTTTCATGATTGTAGAAAGATAATGTATAACCAGTGATTTTTTTTTTTTTTAAACCACCACCCCCTCCTTTTGAATTGGGAAAAATTTAGCGACATTTTCCTCAAATTGGGAAAAATCATTTATAGTAAATTAGAATGCTAAAAAATACAAAAAAAAAAAATAATCAAACTAAGTAACAACAACAGTTTTTGTTTGATTTTAATTTTGAATTTGATTTATTGATAAATTCATAAAATAATCATTTAAAAAAATTAACATCAATATTTTATTGAATGTGAACATGGCTTATATTAGTCACACCTTGTAGCTTCTATTTTCTTGGAATTGCTTTGTCTAATTTCATAAAAAAATAACCAGCATTTAGACTCGTAATCTAGTAAACTGTCTTGTATTGAAATCAAGTTTAGTCTTTACTGTTTGTTTTTTCCTGATTTTAGTGAAACCCTATGTGTTGTCCATTTCCTGATATTAGCCTGACCCTCTATGTAATAATGGCGGTCAAACCAAAAAATCATTATGTCAACATGCAACATGACTTGTGTCTGGGAACTATTTACCAATTCATTTAGGATATTATAAGCTTATCTGCTTATATGGATAACTGCATTGTTTTACACATTCATTAAAAATCGGCTGCATATGCAAGGATTTGGAGAATAAAATTGAAGAATAAAAACGTATTTACTGTGTCAACAATTTTAGCGACTTTTGTTCAGAATCAAAACATAATTTCCATATGTTTGAAATTGGGAAAAATATACTAATAATTGGGAAAAAATAGCTAATTATTTTTGTGAGGGGAAACAGCCGAATATTGGTGGCATTTTAACCCAAAGAAAATCATTGATAACTCTTAAAAAAAGTCATGAATTTATCTCCTTATTAGACCATAAAATGAACAAATGTAAAGACATCTTTATTTTATGCCTTTTCTCTACAGTGCACTTGTCGAAAAGATGGTGTTAAGATCAGCATGGATTGTTTTGTGAAAAGGTTTCAGCCTGAAAGATACGACCTTTGGAAACTTGGTAAAGATATAGCTCCTCATCCGGAAGATGACCAGTCTAAGCTCTATAAACACAAGTAAGCTTTTCAGGTTTCATCAAGATTTAATAAACATATAGTTTTAATAAACATATGTGAAAAAATAATTATTTGTTTGTCAGTTCCTTTTCATTTGTTATTTACTCATAAAAAATACTGGATATTTAAATTTTTGAAGTAAAATGTGATAAAAGCCTTTTTCACACATCCATCTACATTTAACATTAGGGACTCTGGTGGTGAAAAAGCAATTGAAGCAAATAACTCTGGTACCATACAGACAAAAAGACATCCCATATCAAGGAAGGCTGAGCAATCACCCAGGAAAAGTAAAGGAAAATCAAGCAAAACATCAAAAAAGAGGACAGAGAAGGAAGGGGACACAGGTTCTGAGGAATCCGCAGAGGAGTCATGCGATGAAGACAAATATGGAGGATCAACAGAGGAAGTGTGTTCTGAGGATTCCGAGGACAAACTGAAGTCATCTGAGGCAGACAGTAAGCAGAAAATTAACATGTATCTAAAGGATGTGTCTAAGAAAAAGGAAATACCAAAGAAGAGTGGACCGTCATCTTTCCAAGCTGCGTTTGAATCTTTAGTGGCAGCCCGTTCAGGGGCATTAGCATTGCGTCCAGGAAGTGTAGTTGAAGAAATGCCACCTAAAAGACACAAACCTAAAAAGAGGAAAGCAGAAGTCAAAGTAGAAAAAGATCAAGTTAAACATGATGCTTCAGAGACCACAAGTGATCCTTCTCGTGATGCTAGTATGGACAGTATCTCTTCAGTCCCAGTGAAGAGTGAAAAAGCAGCAGATGACAGTGTAAAACAAGTAATACCCAAAAAGAGATCAAGGAAAGAAAATCCTGGTAACCATTCATATTCTTTCCTGCCCCTCACACAGACAAATATGACAGCCCAACAACAAAGTCAGTCTGACTTCAATCGCATTAATTTCCTCATGCCAACAATAAGGTGGATTGAACAACAACAAATGCTGCAAAGCAATACTAAAGGAAAACCTTATACAGAGTCCCCATTTAATCAAAGTTCTGGTGTTTCATTTGGTGATTTATTGAGCTCAACAGCTAAACAACCTAGTAATGGCAGCAATTATGTAAAGCAAGAACATAGAGTGTCCTCTAGTTTATTCAGTGATATGCATGTGCCCAAGTCATTGACAGTTGCTTCTCCAACATCTTTGCATGGAACAGCTGAATATGTCAAAACTGTGAGAATGAAGCCTACTGCTTCGGCGACCATAACGAGTGAACCAAAACAAGAAGGATCGCAAGCTTTGGATCTTTCATTTTCTTCAACAGCAAGCTCTGAGGGATCAAACAGTGATAACAAGACTGTGCGTGCAGAAAATTCTGGTGTTTCAGGGACAAGTGACTTAAAAAATCTTGAACCAAAACCACCGGATATTATGAATGCCCCACCTATGAAACTAACAGGATCACAGCAAAGTTTGTTTTCAAACATGTCTGAAGCATTTAAATTGGCCAACAGTATGTTAACACAAAAACCTGAATCTACATCTTCTTCTGGATCAAAGTCTCCCCGCTCTTTGCTCAGTCCAGGAAGACAGAGAGTGGGGGGTACCATGGGATTGGCAGAGGCAGTGTCACATGACCATGGTGGTTTGGGCTCTCCCCCTTTACCAAGCAATGCTTGTGGTTCAACTACCTGCATTGGAACATCATCATCTCTTCTTGCACATCCCACTTCTTTACCTTCGCATTCCAATCAAAGACCACCCCAGGCTCACATGAGTAGACCATCTAATCCCAATCCTAGGATCATACAGCCATTAAATCCTGCTGTGCCATCAACAGCACAATCAAATCTACTTCTGCAGGCCCTCAGTGGTCAACCTAATCCGACCTCACAACAACAGCAGACTTTTTTAGTGAATATACCTGTGATGCATTCTGGTACTACTACTACTGGCAGCAGTACCTCCGTAACCCCTACTTCCACCATTACTAATGCATCACAGGTGAAACAAAAAATTGTTCTTTCAAATGGGGTTCTTCAAAATAATGAGAAAACTTCAGGATCTGGCACAGTTGTTTCTGCCAAACCCACTGTCAGCCAATTACTGAAGGCAACCAGAGGAATGACAAATTCAGAATCAAAATCACAAACTTCAAAAACTGTGAACGTCAACAGCACTATGAAATATGTCCAGATGAAGTCTCCTTCAGGAACCATTAGTTTAGTTCCAGTAGTTCCTCAATCTGGAGGAAATGCAATCTTGCTACAGAATCAAGCTGCCGCAAATGTTTTGCAAATTTCATCCTCATCAATTGCAAATTCAGTGACTGGGAACATTATTGTACAGCCATCTGTGCAGAAAATTACCAGCCCACTGGTACAACAGACAGTGACAACTCCACTAAGAATTGCAGTATCACCACAAGTTGTACCAAACTCTACATTGTGCATTGTTCCTCAGTCTAAAACACTTAATATGGGGAGTCAACAAAATATATTAGCTATGGCTGGAAAACCTCAAGCAACACTAGTAGCATCAACTCCAGTGCTAGGACAGAAAACAGCTACTCTCCCCCAGTTTGGTGGAAGACCACAGTTTTCAGGAACAACTCAGTTTCTGTTACAAGGTGTCACACAGATTCATCCCACTCCCAATGCCTTTCAGGTGGACCCTAAGACTCCACATTTCCAAACCATTGTGACCTCCAGTCAGTTGTCTGTTCCTCAGTCTACAGTGTCTGTACAAACACAACCAGTCACCAATGTGGCTCTTAAGCCTTCTCAGGCCTCAGATGCATTAAATCCTGTAACAACAACCAAATTCAGTGGAGCACCTGCTAACAGTGGATTAAACAGTGATGTGGATCAGACTTATGGTGCCATTGTAAGTCCAAACAAAGTACTTCAGCTAGTTCCCCAACCAATTGTGCCAATTTCCCAAGTATCAGGTGTGACTTCAATGACTACCACCACATCAACCACAGCCAAACACAAAATGTCCACTGACAGTAGCCAGGAGAAAGTTACCACAAAGGTACTGAAGATGGAGAGTGATAATAATAATATTCATGACACTAGCATGGAGAACAAAGTAAAAGCTGGACTTCTGTCCCCAAGTTCCAATCAGTCACTTTACCGAATGTCCAGTCCAGGGTCAGATGACAAAACATTAGTTCAGGTGTCCAGCTACAGTGCTTTCTCAGGGAATCCTCCCAATAAACGAACACCAGATATTTCTGATATTTCTGGAAGCAGTGGGCAATTGTCACCCAACAAGGCAAGTTTTTTTTTGGGGGGGGGGGGGGAGGGGGGGGGATTGCATGTAAATTGACAATGATTTTACTATGTGAAGTACATGTACCTTTTCATAAGATTAACATGATTGGTGTTTATTGATGGTATTAATATTTTACATTTCTGGTCATGCATTGATATTTGAGATTTCTGGTATGTAGGCAGCTAAAAAGAAATCCAATGCAGCAACATCCCCACGATCTCACAGTGTTGATGGAAAGTGTATGAAAAAGAAGCATCAGGATGAAAATAAAATTCCGAAATCCAAAGGTGATGCTAAAGATTCAGAGAAGATTAGGTCCAGGAACAGCAGTGGTGTCAAAGACAGTTCTAAAGATCAAAATGGACGAAAAAAGAAAAGAAACAGTAGTGGTCAAGATGCCAAAAAAGGTTTAAACCTTAACATTGAATGAACTCAAATGACAAGCTGCAAATTTTCAAGAGAAAAAATGCAGCCTGTGGATCATTTAGTTGAAGTAATGCAAGTCTTCCTTTTATAAATTTCAGACAACTATGAAATTTCAGCTTTTCCAGAAAGAATTATGACAGAAGAGTGGACAAAGCCAGTGAGAGTCTTATGGCAACATTTGTTGCTGGATTTTAATGCAGAACAAGACTTCAATGTAAAAATTAGCCAAAAATTGCCACATTGTTCCATTTGTGCATTATTTAAGCCATTACATGTAAGTTAGCAGTGTTCTTCATTATATACATGTATATGTCAATACTTTCTTTAATAACAAATATTAGTAGAAGGGGAAAAATAAAGTAATTTAACAAAATTTACATTTAGTTAATGAATAATGATTTTTAATTACCATTATACTAATATTTTCAAGATGTTAGCAGTTTATTAGTGAAGTACATATCTTAATACATTATGTTAATTCCAAATACATGCATGTGAGAAAATACACATACATGTGAATAGTTTTCCCTTTTCCATTGCTATGGGCTACCTTCCACAAAACATGATAAAGGGACCCTGAAGAGAGAATTTTTAATGAATAATTCAATGTTTCCAGATGTTACTGGACAAGCAAGAGGACAGCCCCACAAAGTCTAAAAAGGGGAAGAAATCCATGCCAGAGAAAACGCTGCCTATGATACCCGAGGCCTGCTTTGCTTGCAGTGAAGATAACCCCACTCCAGCTAGAATTCAGGCACACTTAGATAAGGACGGACTTAGTCAGCTGTTGGTGTGTGAGGACTGTAAAGTCTGTGTCCATGCTAGTAAGTAGAGATTAGTAAGAAAGGTCAAGATGTATTTTTATACCCTCGCTCCGAAGGAGAGGGGGGTATACTGTTTTACCCTTGTGTGTGTGTCTTTCTGTGTGTCTGTCCGTAACAGATTTTGGTCACAGTTTTCTCAGCAACTACTCATTGGAGATGCTTGAAATTTTAGCACAATCTTTGTTTAGGCATGCCATATGGTGGGATTCATTTTTGTACGAATCCAATGTCAACTTCCTGTTTATCTGTGCATCTGTCCATACCATACATAACAAATTTTGGTCACAGTTTTCTCAGCAACTACTCATCGCAGGTGCTTGAAATTTTAACACTCTTTGTTTAGGCATGCCATATGGTGGGATTCATTTTTGTACAAATCCAATGTCAGTTTCCTGATTATCACTGTGTTTGTCCATAACTGAATTTGTGTATTCACATCAGAGTGGAGGTATTATTAGTGAGCATTGGCTCACAGACTTCTTGTTATTCCTATTAAGTTTTCATTGTTGATGTGAAACCCTCTGTATTTTATATAGGTTGTTATGGTGTGCTTGATCTACCTCAAAACAAGAAGCTATGGAGGTGCACTAGATGTGTCCGTCAACAGTTAGCAGCAGTAAGATTGAAGCTAAAACTATTAACTTCTAGGGGAAAAAAGCCTATCTATTCACATCTTTAACTTACATGTATTCAAAAATGATTGTTTAGCCAATGTATTCAAAAATGATTGTTTAGCCAGTTTAGATTACTAAAGATTTGTTATCAGATTGATGAATATTTTTTGCAGGAGTGTTGCTTGTGTTGTATGAGGGGAGGTGCACTGAAGCCCACCAGTAATGGAAAGTGGGCCCACATTGTGTGTGCTCTTACCATCACTGAGGTCAAATTTGATAACATCCCTAAACGGGAACCAATCAACATCGATGGAATTCTCACTAACAGAGTTAGATTAGTATGTTTGAACAGATTTCCTCTAATATTTTTGACAAATAAGTAGATGATAGGTACTAATCAGGGATGGGGTAATTGTAAAAAGTAATTTTAATCGAGTTTACTTAACTACAATTTTCGTAGTAATTGGAAGAAATTTGTAATTGATAATTTTTTCAATTACTTGTAATTTAATGAATTACACTGAAAAAATACTATGTAATTTCAATAACTTTTTAATTACATTTCAATTGCTTTACATAATACATATTATACATATTTTAACAGGAAAATATATCCATCACAGTCACATTTAACAGTCCATTTTAATCATTTAAAACATCCTCAATTCTGGGTTTTTTCTTTAAAATCTTAACTTTATGTCAACATCCCTATAAATGAATTTGATATATTGGCTTGTTTATGATAATAATAGTTTACATTTAGAATTACGTCAAGCTTAAATGTCTATCTAAATTTTTTTCTACCTTTAAAGTTCCATACTATGGTATGGAACTTACTTCAGAAAAGAAATCTTTATGAGATCACTATTAAACATACAGATCTTTATAAATGCATTTAGTATCTTAAATAGTTATATAAAAATATTATTGTATGAAAATTGTAAATACTTACAATTTATTAGGGTGTTAAGATTACCTACAAATCCTAAGTATCAAAGTTTTTAAAATGAATTAATACACAGTACTCAGATTATTTTTATTTCATGTATAGATAGCCCAGAGGCTGAGCACCTTTGGTCTTCTGTATTCATTCAGTTTGCAAAAGATAATGTAATTTGTAATTTAATTGCTTTTGCAGAGTAATTTTAATTTAATTAATTACATGTCTTGGAAGTTCTGTAACTTATTTGTAATTTAATTGAAGAAAGACAAAAGTAGTCATTTAATTTAATTATTAGGGCCCCGCTCTGCGGGCGCCCTATAGTGATCAGTCTGTCCGTCCGTCCGTCTGTCTGTCCGGAGCATATCTTCTCTCTCCTTGGCCCAATCTGGCTCATACTTCACCCACAGAGTGTCTTTGGGTAAAGGGTGTGCAGTGACCTTGAACCATGTTTCTAGGTCTAAGGTCAAGGTCATAACAGAATTATATGAAAAATCCTTGTCCGGAGCATATCTTCTCTCCTCTTGGTCCAATGTGACTCATACTTCACTCACAGAGTGCCACTGGTCAATGGATGTGCAGTGACCTTGAACAAAGTTTCTAGGTCAAGGGTCAAGGTCAAAAATAGCCTCTCTGGTTAAATTCTTGTTCAGAGCATATTTTCTCTCTCCTTGGCCCAATCTGGCTCATAGTTCACCCACAGAGTGTCTTTGGGTAAAGGGCATGCAGTGACCTTGAACCATGTTTCTAGGTCTAAGGTCAAGGTCATAGAAGAATTATATATATGAAAAATCCTTGTCCGGAGCATATCTTCTCTCCTCTTGGTCCAGTGTGGCTCATACTTCACTCGCAGAGTGCCACTGGTCAATGGATGTGCAGTGACCTTGAACGAAGTTTCTAGGTCAAGGGTCAAGGTCAAAAATAGCCTCTCTGTTTAAAATCTTTGTTCGTTGCATGGTTTCTTTCTCTTATTAGTCTAGTCAGCCTCAAACTTTACCAATTGACGTAGGGTACAGAACATTTGTGAATTTCCTTCCATATTTTGATACATATGCAACAGTTTTCATAGAGGATATGCAACATTTGTGATTTTTGTGCTGCTTTTTGATAGAGGGTATGGAGCACTCGAGACTTTCATGCCATTTTTTATTATAACAAGGTTGACATAGAAGCCCTTTAGACTCAAACAACACATCCCTTAATAGTACACAAGTGTTCCTCTTCAAAATAAACCCTTTTCAGCTCCTTTACTTTTTCATGTTCCTTGCTGAAAGCGGGGCCCTTTGAGATGGCCACCATCTCAATGATATCTAGTTACTTTTAATGTAATTGACCCCATCCCTGGTACTAATTTAATATTTTTCATCATAACAGATTGAATTGACTACAAAGAGATAATTGTGGGATTGTCTGTTTACAGAAATGTTATTACTGTAACCCCCTACACAACAGTGATAAGACCACGGGGGTCAGTGTTCTCTGTTCTGTGGGGAAGTGCTCCTCCTCCTTCCATGTGACCTGTGCCTACGCTGCTGGTGTGTTGTTTGAGACCAGTGACTGGCCATTCCCAGTATACACAACCTGCAATAAACATGGAGCCCACAGGGAAAAGGTAATGCCTCATATTATCACCCTTTTTATTAATGATGCTAGGAAGGAAGTTGATTTTAGTTAACTGCAAGTAAACTTTGATATCTCAACATCAGATGTCAACACTAGACAACCTGGGATTTGTTGACATACATCTGCAGTCTCGGTGGTATTTCCAGTATAAATGATTTGCAGAAACTCGAATATGTTGAGCTCAGTACCCTACTTGCCTTGATGTTAATTGACAGTCCTAAGAGCAAAATTTATTTGCTTTATATTGACATCTTGGCAATTTTCTGCTCTGCTAAACAGAAGTGTTTGTCAGATAGGTTTTTCGTTATGCTCAGATGACCTGTGTATCTTGCTGACATCCTAAGAAATTTACAACTTACTATCCCCATGATTAGAAAGCACACTTCTTAATTTTATGATGATCTTGCTTGAAAAGAAGCCTAGGACACTTAAACACGTTCAGGAGATGTTAATTGATTTACAGTTTGTGTACTATCTATAATAAATGCACATGTTTGTGCTTAAATATACATATATGTAAACCTATGATAATAACAATTGACAAACACATTGAATCAAATAAATTATGCAAGAAATTAAACAACTTATTTTCAAATATTTGTGGTAAAGATGCGTTCAACAGATAACAATTTGGTAATGAACAATAAACATGCATTCATATAGTGATTTAATCAAAATCAGCCCTGACTTAACATGTATATAACATCACCTGGTGTTAGTTCAAGTAAAAGAAATGTATAAAATTTGTGTATATGAGTTTTCTTTCAAAAATAACATAAAAAATGTAAATGTTTGATTTTTTTGTGTCTCTGGTGCTGGCTTTACAGTGTTGTTTAGACATTTCATATCCTCTCTGACAAAAAGCAATCATTATATGATGCAAAACATCAAACATTTGGTAAATTTAGCAAACTTTTAATATGGAAAAGAACACATTTTATCAAAAAGATATTTTTGGTTTTGCTTCTTAGGTTATATAATTAACAAAGAGAGGAAATGCTGAAAATATTGAATTCATGAACAAACTCATTGGCCATGTCATGAAATCATGGATGTCGAGTTATAACTGGTATCTCCCCATCCCACATATCTCAACATTTTACGAGAGTTCCACCGATGTTGAGATACGGAAGTTTACCTGTATTATTATTTCTAGAAATAACTCTTTTAAATGTTTTGACCAATGTTTGAAGGTAGTACATGCATATTGACCCAGTATAATATACAAACCTTAGCTTAATTACCAGTAATAAAAGTAATTGGTGAAAAAAGGACATGTAGGATAGAATTTATGATTAAGTATGCAGTATTCTGGAGACATGTTTGGACTGTGGTATACCAGGATGATAGGTACTAGTAGTTATCTTTTCATATTTACATTTCAGGCATTTGCTAAGGAACGAGAGATGACTAATCTGAAAGTGGGTGATAAAGTATATGCCAGACATAAAAACACTCGATATTACAAAGCCAGTGTTGTGAAAATTAAGAAACAGACTTTCTGTTGTCTAGATTTTGATGATGGCTCTTTCAGTGATGACACTTTTCCTGAAGATATTGTAGTATGTATGCTTAGAATATTATTCATAATAATAAACAAAATCTTAAATACTACTATCAATAAATGTACAAAATATTATATACATTAGTATCTATGCAGAAAAGTTGTGTGAAATAAATTGTGGTATATTGTTTGCTTTGTAGGGGTATTCTCCATCTAACCTTCCACTAGTGGGAGCTCCTGTCCAAGTCAAATGGACAGATGGGGAGTTATACGGAGCCACATACAAAGGCACCAATGTCGTGGTCATGTATTATGTAAGTCTGTTTAATTCCATTATGCATATCTCAGAGATAATAATTAAGAAACAATTCCTGTGTTGTAAGAATTGTTGGACAATATACCAGATAGTTGAGAGATTTTGTTGGTAAATAAAAACCAAGCCCAATGGTTGGGATCAAATGAGACTGAGGGGTATATTCTCCAACAGTTGCAACGATGAGGGAATTATTTCTACTCTGCTAAGGCAAATATATATACAGAAATGCAGAAGCTAGATTTGGGCATCATCATAAGTGTCTTATGACATCACAGTTGAATGCTATCCTCATTCATTTGTATCTCAAGCATTAAAAAAAGTGCATTGTAATCCAAATTCAAAGTAAATTATTTCCCTCCAATTTGCATCACAATCAAAAGATGCCTTTATCCTTTTTGTAGTAGATGCAATCAGAATTAGAAAACTGACTATATGTTGATGATGTTTGTGATTTATTGGAGAATAATGGCAGCAGCATCTCCTTGATCTTTGCAATAACTGTAGTAGAATTGTAAAATAATGACTTGTTTCAACACCACAGTTTTTTGTTGCATGATCCTTGCTGAGTTAATATTTACATGAATTGTAAAAGAAAAGGTAACTAATTGAATGTTAATCTTGATAATACAGATACAGTTTGAAGATGGAGTGGAAAGGGACTTCAAAAGGCATGAGCTTTGGACGTTAGACGAAGAGCTCCCAAAGCATGTCCGATCACGGCTGGTAAGGGGAAAGTATAATATTGGAGAAATTAGTGCATGATTCTAGGAATATTTTAAATTTTATATAACTGTATAATAACTAATATTGTTACCACTTCCATTCAGTAATCAGAATCTTTTGCTGTTGCCATTTTCAAAACCTTGACTGTATAAATGTTTTACTTTTGAACACTGTAGTCAGAAGCCACAGAGAGGAAATACAATTTGCTTTATGATGATGAAATTAAAGCAGAAGTTGGTGATCACCACACCAGGAACAAACCCAAAGTCTCGTACTCCAAACTCAATGGCTAAAGCAACCAAGGGCTGCTGTCATATCTGTGATTTTGTATATAGGACAGTGAACTCTTATGTATTGTATAGGCCACGTACAGAGAGTCGGAGATAATGAATTTTACCTGTCAATGTCAATTTCTTGCATATTATATTATCAGAAATTACTGATTAAAATCAGTTATGTAAATTGCTTTTGTTAAGTATTAATGAAATTGACATGGATACATGTATTTTTGCAGTTAATATGATAGTTTTATGCATTGTGCGTTATCCACTTATTCTGTTAAGTGTAACCTCTTTCCATTTGTAAATCCTGATTTTTGCAACCCTGCAGAATACTTAAAACGTGAAATGTTCACCAAAATTAAAAGTGTGCCCCTGGCAGTGATCTCTGTATGCTGTATATAATAAAAGAGGAAAATTAGGCAGCATTTATTTATTAATGTTAAATACGATATTTATTGTACTTTTATGTGTTGTTTTGACTTTTATTAGTGTAGTGTATTCTTTATCATGCACACTTCTTCAGTGATTTTGTGTATACTCTTCACGTTGTGAGTTGTATGGAATCAAACTTTTAGAAGAAAATTATACGCTCACAGGATTTTACAAGCGAAATTATGCGTTGTAATTTTTATGAAATAAATCTGCAACACTGATTGATGAAAGTTTCCAGATTTTATTGTTTTTTTTTTTAATTTCTTTATTAATCAATGAATGTATCTGATGGGAATATTTGTATTTTGTAAGTCCTGAAAAATAAAAGGATTGTGAACAACATTCAAGAGGACCACTGACCACTTGATTAACATAAATTCTATTGGGTCTTCAAATTTATAGTACATGTATACTGAGGTGATGCCATCAAGATTTCAGCTTATTTGTGCCTGTTGAAGTGTTAAATCTCTTTGCAAAACTTTGGGAGATTTTTTTCTCTTCCATGTAAAACTTACCTTTTTAGGTCACATTAGCCAAAGATTCATGTGAGCTTTTCTGATCAAAATTTATGTTGTGTGTTGTCTTAAACTTTTCACATTTTCATTTTGTATATATTCCTGTGTCAAAATTTAATCACCTAATGTGACCCCACCCTATCCCCAGGATCATAATTTGAATAAACTTGGATCTACACTACCTGTGGATGCTTCCAGTTATCAATCTGAATATTCATGCCTTTGCTGTCTCTGATAAAAAGATTTGTAATTTTTTTTTTGTATATTCCTATGTTAAAATTTGTTAATCTATTGAGGCCCACCTTACCCTGGGAGGTCATGATTTGAACAAACTTGAAACTACAGTGTGTAATGAAGTATTTGCATATTAAGTTTTAACTCTTCTGACTCACTTGCTACTAAGCAGATTTCAACATTTTTTTCCTATATAATACTATATAAAACTTGCTTATTGTGGTCCCACTCTACCCCTGGGGGTCATGATTTGAACAAACTTGAATCTACACTATGTAATGAAGTTTTCACATAAGGTTCAACTCTGCTGGCCAAATTCCTGAAAAGATTTTTTCCTGTACATTCCTATGCTAAACTGCTGTGACCCCACCCTACCCCCAGGGGTAATGATTTGAACAAATTTGAATCTGCACTACCTGAGTATGCTTCCACGTAAGTTTAATTTTTTCTGGCCCCGTGTTTCTTGATGAGACTTAAAAGATGACATTAATTTTTCACTAATTCTGAATTATTTCCCCTTAAAAGAGGACATGGCAAACTTGAATTCCCTTCACCCAAGGAGACTATGTGGCGAGTTTGGTTTGAAATTGTCCCAGTGGTTCTTGAGAAGAAGTCAAAAATATTAATGTGAAAAGTTTACAGATGGACGAACACCAGACAAAATGTGATCAGACAAGAGGCCCAAGGGCCTAGAATTGCTCTTCTGAGAAATTGTACAATCTATCACTTCTATTTTAAGCCTCTTGGTATCCAATACATGTATGTAAGGATAAAGCCTTGAAATTCCAAAACTAGGTCAGCATAACCTACATTTTGGTTAACACACTCTGAAAACCTAATATGCATCAACTGACACAGTTTGATGATTGTAAGCCAATTAGTATATGAAATAGCAATCAAATTGCATAAGTAGGTCATGTGTACACACTTTGGGGACCCAAGATGCACCAAACTGACAAAGTTTGATAATTCCAAGCCAGTTGGTTTCTAGTATTGAAATATAGATATGGAATTCCAAAATTAGGTCACAGTAACCTACTTTTTTGTTGACACTTTTCGGGGACCCAAGATGCATCAACTGACAAAGTTGGATATTTCCAAGTCAATTAGTATCTGAAATAAACTCCGAGAACTCAAGATGCATCAAATGACAGTTTGATGATCCTAAGCTTCAAAGTGTCTAAAGTATGCCTCTGAAACAATTTGAAAATGAATACCTGTAAAATTCAAAAAGTACGTCACTGTGACCTACTTTTTGATAAATATGTATGTTTTAAGGCTCCAAGGTGCATCAAATTACAAGGGTTGATGTTTCTAAACCTCTTGGTAACTGAAATAATGACTTAACGTTTAGAAAATGATTAGCCATAAAATTCAGAAAGAAGGTCATGGTGACCTACTTTTTTTGTTGACACATTTAAGGTCCCATGATGCATAAACAGAGAAGTTTTGATGATCATTGGCTTCAAAGTGTCCAAGTTATGCATCAAAATCAAACTGAAAATGATGCAAAATAAAGGTAGGTCACTGTGACCTACTTTTTAGTCAACATGGTATGAGGTCCTAAAATGCATCAACTGACAAGATTTGATGATCCTATGCCTTATAATGGACAAAATAACAAAGTTTAAACAGAACATAATTTTTGGTCAACTTTGAAGTGTCCTTGAGACCACACCCTTTGTTCCAGGGTGATGCTTTGTACAAATTCATGGTCCCTGGGTCAGGGGTTCTGGTTTTTAGGGCAGGGCTTTATTGATTATGTAGTAAAAATGCAATAATTCTTTGAAAATCTTCTCTGCTTCTGGGTTTTAAGCAAGCAATATAATGCTCATGATTATGATGAGCAAGGGTGCATCTTCCAAAATTATGAAATTTGTGGCCCCTGTGTCAGGGTTCCAGAGTTAAGGTGGGGCTCTATTGATCATGTAATATATTATAGTGACAATGCATTATTTTTTTTGAAAATCTTTCTCCCCCTGTATATTTAGCATACAAAGTACAAGGTTATAATAAGCAAGGGTGCCTCTTCAAAAATTTTGAAATTAACTGCCTCCGGGTCCAGGTATTAGGATGGGGTTCTATTGATCATATAGTGGCACTGCATTAAATCTTCAAAAACCTTCTTTACTGTTACTGAGTATTTAGCAAGTTGTATGGATATAGAGATTGAGAACACTGATGTAGATGTCTTCATTAAAGTATAATGTTAGGGTCAGAAATATTGGAATATATTATACCAATTAGCTAGGGGGTGCCCACATTGTGGTCTAAACTTTCAACCCTGAGATTAAAAACCACTCTACTGACTGAGCTAAATGGTGAACCCAATATCTAGTGCTAGTGGGAGCATGGTCTCACTATATACAACACATAGCCACTTCAAACTCGGAGCATTACACTTTCTCCCTCTTTTTCTTGAGTTTTCCTACTTCTAAGAAATCTTTTACATGAGATTTTATAAACAACACTCACCAGAAGGTTTTTTTTTTAGTTTAGAGCCAATAAGGACTGATTAAGTAGGGAATGTCCACCATGTCTCTTGAACCTACAACCCTCAGACTTAAAGTACAGTGCTCTAGCTACTGAAGGGTTATTCTCTAGTAAGTGCTAGTCACAAATTTCTTATTAGGCCTAGGGTCATCAGACTTTATTCATTTGGTTTGTCTCTAAGGGTATGATGCACTCTGGCTCAAAAAGAGACGATGACACAAGAATGGAATTACACGGCTGTGTACTAAAATTTTCTCTGCTTTTCATTTTGAATCTTTTTTTAATCAAACTTTGTCAGCTAAACTCCTTCGAGAAACGTGACCAAAAGAACTTGGTATTATGATTATAGATACTCGAATCATGTATCCTAAACACTTTAGGGCCTTGGATTATCAAGTATTGTCACTTCCCACATTAAATTTACAGTAACTATTTGAAAATGTTTCATTTCCTAGCCCACAGGGATATGACGTGGCCTTTCTCCGCGATTCTAGAAATCACAAACAGTATGGAGACTTTGTACAGTTTCATAATCCTCAGATTTAAAATAAAAATGCTTACTTACAGTAAAATAAAAGTTGTGCAGAGTTCTACATCTCACGTACTCATTACATTATAATATATATCCACCTCAAATTTATTTAATTCCCTTTCTTGCATTTAATGATGAGAAAAACAAACAACAAATCAGTTTTCCATAGTTACTTTACTGTGTTGACAGTATAAAATGCTGGGTACAATTATAAACCCTATGTACTGTTACATCTATAGCCCATGTTGACATTTGATGTGACAGTAGTACAAAGTATACACAAATTAAGGCTGTACATGTATATATACAGTACTTAGTATTCTTATCTGTTATACATGTACATATAATGACAATCAATAATTAAAAATGACGTTTAGTACACCATTGTTTCTACACGATGAGAGCAAATGATTTACATATCACAGAAATGTTCTGAAGTGAATTCATTATTCCTTCGGACAAAATGTAATGATGGAATGAATATGAACTGATGCCAGGTTTGCTGATACGATGCACCAAGGTATCAGGATGACCTCCCCTGTTGGTATCGAGGTGATCTCCCCTGCTTACCAAAGTTTCAGGGTGACTTCCCCTTTTTAACAAAATATCAGGATGATCTCCCCCTTTGGGTGACCTCCTTTTACCTGTATATTTACATGACCAGTTAGTTTATCTGTGTAAACAAGAAAGCTTGGGATAGGACATAGTAGTCTGGGCTGTTTCAGGGAAAGCGTAGCACTATCACTGTTCATAAATTAATGATGATAAGCACACATATGTACAACAGCTTAGGCATTACATCACTGGTGATTTTAGGATTATAAATGCATCTCATTGCAAAACAACACTCATTTCAAAAAAAAAATATCTAAACAGATCCAACCAAACTGGCAGACAACTAAAAAACATCTGGCATTAAAATCGTAATTACCGTAATTATTCAAACAGTTATTAACCTTTAACACCCCATTATTAACCTAAAGATTACTGACAATTTCTTTTGGCTTTTCGTGTAAAAAAAAAAAAATTGAACATACAATATTGTGTGAATCATACAGCAAAATAAAAGTTACTAATGAAAAGCTGCGAAATATCACTGATGCTTCTAAATAGCAAGTACCTAAATGTTTGTACAGATCTTAACTGTCTTCTTAATAAAACAGACCACATAAACATTAATAAATCAATTTTGTGTTTAATGATACATACCACAAACAAATTTTCTAATCTCCCAAATAGAAATGTGAGTTTGCTTTTATATAATATTTCTCTTATTGGAAATATAAGAAAATATTTATTGTGTAAAATGTAAAAACAGACTCTTGAGGATGTTCCCAGAAAGTTAACAGTTAACAAAACTTCACACATTCTTAAACTATTGAAAAATGATACATATTTTCCCACTTTTCACCAAATTATGTGGCTTGGGCAAAAATGAAGTTAAGCTCAACAGATATCACTTCTTTAATGGGAGTTGCACCCATTACAGGAAAGATGTTTGAATTTTGGAAAATAAAAATTTGTTTGTGTTATTTATCCTTAATATAAACAATGTGTGAAAGATAAAACAAATGCCTTCTAATTTTACCTCAATATTACTGCACCATTTGATGAAAATCTACTACAGAAGTAAACTTTGGAAATAAAATAAAATATAGTTAATTATTTCTATCAATAAAAAGAATTAATTTGTGTTGAGATCGTTGTCGTATTTACCTCAGAAAGTACTCAGGCTGCTTAGAAAATTTGGAAACTTTAGAAAAATCATTCATGACGTGTTGATAAAGGATTGCCATTTGAAAATTGCTGTTTTAGTGGCATCTAAAACACACAGACAGCTGAAGGAAAGATTTAGTTGATAAATATATTTTTTTAAAAATCACTTTTTGGGGGCACTTCAGATTAAAATAACATCTAGAAAGCATGGACATTTATAATTCTCATATACGTACAATGCTGAGATTTACTGGTACAGGCACCATTATATCTTATTTGGTAACAAGACTACATGAAATACTTGTAAAAAAAAAAATTGGTGGTGCATTTTTGTTACTTAAATGTATGACAAACTAAAATAGCTGATACATCTACCTTTACAATCTTGTTCAATATGCTCAGAACACATAGAAGTGTAGGAATAATTTTGTTGGGTAACTGCATATGGATGATTCTTGTGATTAAGACCACACAGATTATCTCTATTATACAGACAAGCATGCTCTCTGTTCAGTCACAAAATTTATGGCATACCTTCATATTGCACACAAAATTAAGTCATTTTCCATGGGAGTCTCTGTGAAATTAGAAAATTTACCAAAATTCCCTGTTAAACAGACTATCTCCAGTAAATAAAACAACATTTCATTTTTCGCAAAGATATGCAATGACCCCCCACCCAACCCCTTCAAAAAAATATCTATCTATGCATAATAAATAAAAAATAAAGCTTAAACAGAAACTGGGCTACAGGAAGCAGTGAAAGACAGGTCATCACAGCGGAATCAGTAGAAACAGAAGCTGCTAATGGACTCCCTGATCATGTTGTGCAGTGAGCAAATGATTACAAAGGACCAGCTGCTCAAAGTTTGTGTGTGTGTTATAGGCCCACCATCCTGGACAGCAGGAATGGAAATATCAGCTGAGTTATTGTCAAGGGCGATGGAATCTGCAATGGAAACAAACAAAAACTCTGCATTTGTTCTGTTATGTGAGAAATGCAATATATAATGTCAATAGAACATTGTTGTGACACATTCTAGACTTATTCATTACAGGGAATTCTTACACTGTCGATTATAAAAAACTCTTTATACAGAATAATTCTCTTCAGGAATCAGTACCTTGTTCGATGCTTGCTCTGACAATGTCGTTCATAAAGATCTCTTTATTACAGTAAAACAGGCTTATAATGAATTGACGCTTACAACAAAGTGATTTTCATTCCCCATGAGTTTAAAATATAATTCAAACTTAAGGGATATAATGCTTATAATGAAGTAAAATAGTCCGTACCTGGCACTTTGTTATAATTGTGTTCTACTGTATACAGAATAATTCTATGTCAGTATACCTTGTTAGATGCTTGCTCTCTTCATGTACATCCATTTCTTTACTCTTAAATTCATTTAATTCTTTCCTAATAGCAGCCTGTAAAATAAAGAAAACTGTTATTGACAAGACATACACAGAAGTCACCCACAAGCTACTGTAATCTGGTGACAATTTTACTAGATTTTCTTGCATTAAAATAAATCAAACATGATTTATCAGTAGGATGCTCCCCCTTTGTAACATTTTTTGCTGTAACAAGACTGACCTTATCTTTTGGTGTCAATCTGGTCCATGGTTTGTCTGCCCGTCTGTCATATTCATGGGCATCTGTCCACTCTACATAATCATTGAATTTGATGATCTTTCTTTCCTTTAGTTCTTCTATACTGGGTCTAAAGCTTAGCTATAAGGAAAGGAAAAGACATTTATAGCAACAAATTTTACAAAATATTATTATAAGGGGAGGGAACTTTTTTGAATCACAAGATTTCCTTGTTTGTGATAAAATTCCTCCTTGCTAGAACAGTACTATACCTTCATTAGTCTTCTAAATTTCTTTAATTGCTTGTTCCAATTTTTTAATCTACTATTCCACACCACAGTAATAAGAAAATATAGTTGAAATAATGAAGAATTAAAAACTAGCATGATGACAGAATATAGCCAACTGTTAGCAATTCTCCACATAAACCAGGGTATATAAATACTGACCCCTATTGATGACCTCTCACTTTTAAATGTCATCCCTTGCTGGTCATAGGGTATACATGTTTCAATTATCTTTTAATTACCCTCCCTAACAAACAAGTGTAATTAGTGTTGCATGCACAGACATGACTACTATTGTAAAATAAACAGACTAATTATATAATTAACACCTTACCTACCCATTGTTGTACAGTGTGTAGGTTTGGCATAGAAACTGTTCATTGATTCATTTATAAGAATGACTAATTTAGGGATATGATGCATTCACTTTAAATATTCACCAGAAAGTCATTCACAACAATGCACTTAAAATAAATCAAATAGTACTATTAACAACAGTTCAATACTTTGGGGTATTGTAACATTTTTTTGAATTTATATTGATTTTCTTAGTACACAGTGTACATGTATACAAAACTCACTGCATTTCCATACATTCAGTAAATTGTGAATATGATGCTTTTATCATAAAATTTTCACCACATCTCATCATGTTTTAGGAAATTAATTATCAAACTAAATAGTTTTTCATTCTTTTTCAATAAAATTTTATATATACAATTCTCAGTAGAACTAAAGGCACATCTATTGAGAAAGTCTTTGTTATGAATCCTAAGAATGCATTGATTCCACTGGTAAAACCTGAGCAATTAACTGTTAGAGATAGACCCCCCCCCAAACATCCCTATCCCCCACCCCAACCTCAAATTGATGATAAATTTAATTCATACACCACAACCTTAAAAAAAATAAAGCCTTCTCATGACAATGCTTGTACAAAGTGCATTTATATCTAAATGTTAATGAAATAACAAACAAGGTGAATTTATCAGCAAATTCTCTATAAATAGTTGCAACAGAAGATCTCCCAGGGACGGAAACAATTCATTTACACTCTGCCATACAATATATGACAAACAATTACTGGAGAGTAAATAAAATGGAAACACAAACACCCCCACTTATTTACACCCTGTAACCAATCCTAAATATTGGCAAGAAGAGTATCAAGTCAGACAACCACAACTAATTCTGGGACAATCCCAACTAATAAACCTTACTATCAACAAAATCTGAAATAAACCTTAATAACAACTAAATCTGAGACAATCCCAACAGATAAACCTTAAAAACAACTAAATCTGAGACAATCCCTACTGATAAACCATGCCAACAACTAAATCTGAGACAATCCCAACTGATAAAGCTTTCCAACAACTAAATCCGAGACAATCTCTACTGATAAACCTTACAAACAACTAAGAAACATATTTCTTAGTTTAAATAGCTTATGAAGCTCTGAATACTTTTCAGCCACACATATTAAATGTATGTTAGTGTTCGCTGATGAGAAGTATCAGGTCATATGCTCAAACATAAATTTTTAAAACTGTAAAACATTATTTTCATATTCCAACTATTCATTAAAACACATTGAAAATGACAAACTATGCATTGTTTATTTCTTCAATTCTGCTTGAAGTAGTGCCATCTGACTTTATGTTGCCAACCATTTTGTTTTAGGTACATGTATCTTTTCTCTGAATTTAATACATGTATTACCAACCATTTATAGGAGGTATCTTATGTATGACATCAATACTAACCTTTCGTATGAGGTATCTTTTCTTCTCTTCTTTATCTTTTTCAGCTTGGTCAATACTTTGGGCTGAAATTCAGTAATACCATTCATATTAACCACTTACTAATATGGAAACAAAATGTCATATATAAAGTGTATTCAGAACTACTGAAAAAGAAAAACCCTAATGGTAAGTTTGAGATGCTTACTGTGTAGAATATTCCTTTGTTCCAATTCCTCCTGTGTGGGCCTTAAACTCAGTCGTCTGAAAAATGAAACAAAAGAACATCAGTAATGCTTTGACAAGTAGTATGAAAAAGTAAAAAAAAAAAATTATCACATGTACGCAGGACTAAACACTTTACAAGAAAAAAATTTCCTTAAAATAATCATTCTACTGTAAATCCCTTTTTATTTGTGAGAACTTTATTTTCATGTAATTCAGTGAGACCATCTGCCCAAGAAAATTTCATTCTCATTTTGATTTTTTGATTAACGATTATAACCAACAATAACCAAAATTTGTGAAAATTTTATTTCACTTATAAATACCAAGTAAATATCTCGCCAAAATAAGGTGTCACAAAATTTGACCATCTACTGTACTGTATATGGAATACTATGGAATATTCCAGTCATACTATCTTGAACCCAGGACAAAATCTCCGTAGGCATTCTCTTATTTTCAGCAACAATACCTCAACATCAATGAGACTTTTTAAACATGTTCAATTGTTCAAAGTCATATTTTCTATTTCAAAATTTCAGTGTGTGGGTGTGTGTGTACCCATGTAAATACAAATATGAGTACTAGCAAACTTGGGTTTAATGTTCTGTAGTATTAAAATATCCTGCTACACCTGTAGATGATAATAACCACCCCCAGTGACAATTTGTACCCACCTGATAAGCTTACTACCGATTGCATTCCTGTCTTCTGTTTTCTGTAATATTGATTTTTCCTGAATTATATTTTTTTCCACCAGTTCTGTTCTTGATGGTCTGTTGCTGAGGAATCGTGCCAAGCTATCTTGCCGAGCCACCTTTGCTGCAAGTGCCGCTACAAAATTAAAGAATATTATAACATAAATTTAATAAATGAAATTTTGAATAATTATGAACTAAATCCTCTACATAAGCACCATACAAATGTCATTTCCATTTAAAACTTCTAGGCAATACTACCCTGATCCGAGACACCCATAAGTGTTCACTGAGTTTGACTGATCTCATCATTAAGTTAGACTGATCTCATCACTGAGTTAGACTGATCTCATCACTGAGTTAGACTGATCTCATCACTAAGTCTGACTGATCTCATCATCGAGTTAGAGTGATTTCATCATCGAGTTAGACTGATCTCATCAACGAGTTAGACTGATTTCATCATTGAGTTCTTAGTCCAGACTATTTTACCTATAACTCTCATTGTAATGCCCTTGTCAGAAGACCTTGTCACACAATAAATCTCAAGATAAACCATTTCTTTGTGAAGCATTGATTAATAGTGACACTAAACAGAAGAGGCTGTTGATCTTTATTCTGTAACAACCAACCAATCAGGATACAGACTGACATTCAGCAGGTCTATTTATGGTAAAGGAGAAAATGTTACCAATCAAAGAAAATGACATAATATTAAAAAACAAAATAATTATATACCAGCGAATGTTAAACTGATCATCTAAATGTTTAATTGACCATCCAAATCGTGCACTGATCATCTAAATGTGATACTGATCATTTAAATGATGCACTGTATTCATGATCACTTTAATGTTGTACTGATCATATAAATGTTGAACTGATCATCCAGATGATGCTTTGATCATGCTATCATGTAGCAGTCATCAAGATGAATCAATAAACATAATGTATAGACCTTAAAACTAAGAACATGTGCTTCTCACCAAACATATATAAAGATAGGTGCAAATCTTGTATAATAAATATTGTTTCCACTATTTGAGAAATTTTGATTCTTTACATTTTTTTTAAAATTCCGATACTCATCATTTCTGCAGCTAACAGGTTGGTAAGAGAAATTAATGTCTTCATGTCTTGACAGTCTGACTAAAGCCAACCCTCATCCCCTTCCATTTACTACATTCAATATGTTTGTCAGATAAAATGCATAGTAGAGATTGGGTAAGACTTCATCTCTTGGGTACTTGGGAAAGATTTTGTTGCTAGAAATAGAATAAAATATTTTGTATAGACTTACACACAGGTTCATCTTCCTCTTCATCTTCATCGTCACGGTAACGGATCTCTTCATCATCAGATGAGGAATCATCCGCTGGATTATAGTCTGACTTGTCCGTTTGACTGTTTGTGAAAGACGGTTTGGCCACAGGTGTGTCTGTTTGGTTTTCTTTATTATCACTGGCCGTGAATTTTCTGCAAGAAAAATAACAAGTTAGATGCTGTATCACACATTAAGATAATGCAAAACAAAACATCACTTCTTTAACAGATTGAAAATACCATGGAAGAATGCGCTTCTTTAAATAATAAATAGGAATACTCCAAAATTTTGTGATATTGATTATCATTTGTAGGTAGTTAACTAGACAGGGTGTCAGGAACTTGCACACCAACTTAGTACTTATGCACTTAATTCAAATCAATGCAAGTACTGATGTATACCACATTAAAGTTTTAGCTCATCTGAGCCAAAGGCTCAAATAGGAATTTCTTATCAAAGTTTGTCTGTTGTTTAAACTTTTCACATTTTTGACTTCTTCTCCAGGATGAAATACAACCAAACTTGGCAAAAACATCCTTGGATAGTGGGGTTCAATCAAGTGAGGGGTAATGCTCCTTTTGAGGATAGAAAATTAAGGAATAAATAAGACATTAGTGAAAATAAGAGTGTAGTAATTAATTTAAAAATCTTCCAAAGAACCACTGAACTAGAAAAAAAACCTTACTGAGTGTAAATTCAAGTTTGTTTTTATCATGGCCCCAACAGTTATGGTGAGGCCAAAAGATTGGGTTAAAGTTTTACAGGGTTATAAATAGGACTGGAAAAATCTTTTAAAACTCTACTCTCCAGAATAGGAAAAAATTATATTAAATATAAATATATAAACATCCCCATGTATGCTATCTTTTCCTTCCTGGGGATACAACAAAGTTTGATAAATGATTATGTAAAAAAAAAATCTTTGAAAAAAACTTCTTTAAAGGAACCAAACAGCTACAATTAGTCATAAATATGTCTCCATGTAGTGAACATGAGTCAAGGCTGCTGGGTCTATGGTGAGGTCCTAAAGGGGTCTGGGAAATAACACACAGTAAACCTCATCTCTTAGTCATATTGACTTGCAAGGGTCTCCATGTAGAGTAGATTCAAATTTATTCAAACCAAGGTCTCTGGAATTGGGGTTGGCCACGACAGATGATCAAATATGATCTCATTATTAATCAGTATTCTTTTAAAGATATACACGCTATAACTTGCATCAGTTTAAAATAAAGTTGGAAATTATTTATTTTGTTTACCAAATAAAGTTACGAAAGTATTGTAAATTACACAATTGGAAATGAACGAATTATAAAGATCTCAAATTATAATTATTTATTATCCTACTAGGAAAGTAATGCCTCTATTTAAATTCATGCATCATGTGACACCGTCGCTACTTTTAGATTGATAAACAAAAATGGCGTCAAGAAAATGAGGTAGGCCATTCGGTATACAAAATAACTTTTGACATGGATGGCATACGTTTTATGCTTAAAGATACTTATCTTTGAAAACAACCAGTATTAACCATCTACTCTGTAATGACAGATATTAACTTTTATTCAAAATCGTAGTCAAAATACAACGTACCTCGTTGTCTATGATTTCCCACGGACATGCGTGTCTATATATACTGTTTATGCACTTCCTTCATCAATATTCATGAATAGGCTGAATTCTTAATTGCAGATCTTGCTGAATTGTTTTGTAATTACAATGACTTATTTAGTAAAACTTTGTAGAAAGTAATTATTTTTTATTACACATCATGTTTCTCAAATCATTCAATCATTTAGTTTCACTTAAAAAATTGCATTTATATAGCGTGTATATCTTTAATAATAAGCTATTATTATTAGCTAACAAGTGCTTTTCATCATATTGTAAATATTGCTCCAAAATTTTACATGGGAATATGTAAGGAAATCAAAATTTTACATGGGAATATATAGGGAAATGCTCAAGAAAAGCAGGGCCACAATTACTCATATTGATTTAATTGCATAAATTCAAGAAATATGAAGTAGAACAAAGTCAAACGAAAAGAAAAGTGACTAGTTTTCAGACTTCCACAAATGGCAGATTAAAAAGTTAACCTAAATGTAAGGATTATACACTGCTGCTATATTTTCTATCTGATTTTAATTTTAAGACTAAATGTAAGCAAACATATAAATGGTTGCTACTTATTTTTTTTTTGCTGATGTTGCTTTATCTACCTGTACCAAGTTATTTTCCTGGAAACTTTAAATGTCATTAAGAGAAAATACCTGACATTTGCACTGTATCTAAAAGAGGAAACATCAAGAGACAGTTATTATAATGCTATAATCCCATGTCCCAATTTTAAATGTCATTTGAGTTCAGACAGTTTTACTGTTGTTACTGGGCCATTCCTAACCTAGCCAAAGTCTATCTGATTCTATTACAAAGTCATTCATAGGTCACCACTTTATATACTAAAAATAAAGCAGGACTTTGATATCTAGAACACTCTACATTTCTCTTTTAAATGTGAATATTTACTTCCTATTGCTACATTTAGTGAATTTAACATTTCTTACCTGAGCAATCTATTAACAAGACTTATTCATGTAGATTGATGTTATAAATCTGGAATGGTTTGTGATATCACAGTTCTTTATGTTTGAAACTCAAAACAAATGGTCGCATTTTAGATTGTGAATGGACAGCAATACTGCATTTTAAGCATATACGTACAATATATCCATAGTCTACCTATGTGCCAAGTTTGACTTGATCTCCCTGCTCTGTAGCATAAGTTAGGGCCACATATGACAGACTCACTAACAGTTAGAGATATCTATAAATTCTAAAATTGTGTGGGTAGTGATCTAATGATGTAACTTACGAGAGTCCTCCTCGGAGTTTTGGCCTGGGTGCTGCTACAGGGGTGGCTTTGGGTGAGGACTTTGGTTCACTGACTGGCACTACCTCTACAGGGGGTGGTGAATCTATGATATCTACATGTGAGAAATGAACAGAAGAAGAATCGGTCACTGGGGGGGACTCTGCTTGGCCTGCCCCCTTTAATGCACTCTTTTTAGGAAGTTTTGAATTGTCCCAGTCAGAAGCAGGTGCTATCTGGAATGTTCCAGTAGGATCACTGAATTCCACTGGTTCTTCAACCTTGACCTCTGCCACCTCTGTAATAATACATGGAAACAAACATCAATATACCAGTACAAGATTATGCAAAACCATATTTTCTTACTACACATAGAGGCACATCTTCTATATATAAGACTCAAATCAATAATACATCAGATATAGTAAACCTCATTATCTTGAACTCCATGGGACTGAGAAAAAACTTTGAGATAACTGAGGATTCGAGATATCAAGGGTAAAATACTAATGGAATATGTGGTTGGGACTTCAAAATCACTTTTCCATAGTATTCTAGAGTAGATATCCAGAGCTCCAGATAAGGTGCGTATTTGTAGAAATATGCATGGAATTTTTCAAAATACACATTAAAAATTAAAACAGAGTGTACAATTACGCATTAGCAATCATAAATAAGCATTACACTAAGAAAATACTGCGTATGACGGATTCAATGATACAAGTACAATTTAACTAAGGTCAGCTCAGTGTGAATTTTTTGATTTATAAGCGTATTCGGAATAACCTAGGCTGAATTCCAGTTCGGGAGAAAGATTTGAATATTAAATACTCGTTCTTTGTCTGAAAATATCACAGATTTCCAATGTTCATATAGCATCCAAATTTTCATTCTTGATGCGTACACGTCGATATTGTCAAAACTGCGCAAAACACGCATGGTGTCTAATTTATCCTTTATCACTGTTTATGAAACATTTCTTGTGTATTTACCACTTTCTGTAGCAATAATATCATCTAAAGTCCTATGACAACCTTTATTAATTGTATAAAAATAATTGCTTCTTTGCTTTCCATATGATCCTGTGCTATAAGTAGCGCCACGCAACTTTTAATGCAAACGGGGAGTAACTCTAAAACTTTTACATGTACCTCAATCGATGCCAACAATTTATATAGCAAAACATAGTAAATAATTTTGATTTAAAAAAAAAAAACAAAAAAACAAAATGGAAAACAACGGGACTGGATATTTTGAGAGGGGCATGTATGGATGAGAATCTAAAGATTAATTTTATCTGGCCAAAGGAAGGATATTTTTTCTAGGTAACTCTTGCTACAGTCGATATTTAAGCCTTAATCTTAAATGGATTTCTGTGTGCCCGTGTTAACTTTGACTATCGTATGGTCTTTCTGGTGAAAAAAAACTGATATGTTTCTCAGTTGTAGCTAAAAGCTGACAAAATTTTTTAAAATTTCATTAACCTAATTGATAAATGCAGAAACTGTCCTTTTTTTACATTCCTCTTTTAAAACACACTTATTTTGATAACAAATTAAAAGTCACATTAGATGTCAAAAGAGCAATAGATTAACAAAATACTTTTTGATTATTATGCTGAAAAACAAAATCTGCATTGATTTGAAAATCAGGGAGTAAATACACTTTGAGGTAAAAAATTATCTGGAGCTCTGGATATCAGTTTTAAGATACCAAAGTTTAACTGATCGTTAGTGTATTTTATTTAAGTTTACCCCTTTACCTAGTTTTTAACCCTTTATCCAGTTTACCACCATACTAATGGTTATCACTCAATGGATAAATTTTTCATATTCACATTGTGTGATGTCATTTTGAACAAATACATCTTTATTTTAAACACGGAAGACTCTAAAATTTGCTCTGACCCACTGCATCTACTCAAATGTATATTGTAATACTCTTCCCATTCCAGCCACTTGCCCATTCTTTTTCAAGTTAAAGGATGGATCTTGCAAATCAGCAAAATAGCACCATTATATAAGCATGTTCAAACTCCCATTGTACGACAGAGTTTTTAGCAAGGATTCAATTTTTTGGTTTTATTAGCTAAGAGTATTGAGGTCACTAAAATCTAATCTCATTAACAATTCATTTACCATTTAGAGGCAAGTGTTATCCTGGTTATTTTTCTTGACATAATAAATTAGCTAAAATTACCTCTTACTAAAATATCTAATGAATTTTATGGACAAATAGCCAGATTTGCTTCAATCGCTAAAAATTCCACTTTCTGTAATATCTCTTATTTTCATGGAGTCAAGTTTTCGTTGTTGTGGGAAAAATAATGGTACATGAGGATTTGATTTTGTGGTTGAAGAAATGTAGCGTTGTTTTGATTACAATTTTAACACTTCATGGAAGACATGAATTCATGGGTCTGTACATACCACGAAAACAAAAATTAACCCGTGTGAAAATATGTGATTTCACAATATAGCATCTTCTTCACTGCTAGTCATTACCTTGCTGCTCTGGAGCAGGTTGGGGAGGTGGATCCATAGGCTTCTCCTCCTGTGGGGGTGGCGGTGACTCTGTGGTGGACACACCAGAATCAGGTGTGGTCGTGCCCTGTAGATGTGGAAATACCATAGGTCTAACCTGAGCTGTGGTCAACACTGCAAAGAATTGGTACAATACAATCAACAGCATCAAAATAGGAATAGTCACTAGTCTTCTGTACAACTACTACAACAAATAGGTACAATACACAACACAGCATCAAAATAGGAATAGTCACTAGTCTTCTGTACAACTACTACAACAAATAGGTACAATACACTATACAGCATCAAAATAGGAATAGTCACTAGTCTTCTGTACAACTACTACAACAAATAGGTACAATACATTACACAACATCAAAATTGGAATAGTCACTAGTCTTCAGTGTACAACTACTATAACGAATAGGTACGATACACTACACAGCATCAAAATAGGAATAGTCACTAGTCTTCTGTATAACTACTACAACAAATAGGTACAATACACTACACAGCATCAACATGATCAAAATAAGAATAGTCACTAGTCTTCTGTACAACTACTACAATGAATAGTTAACAATACACTACACAGCATCAAAATAGGAATAGTCACTAGTCTTCTGTACAACTACCACAACAAATAGGTACAATACACTACACAGCATCAACATGATCAAAATAGGAATAGTCACTAGTCTTCTGTACAACAACTACAATGAATAGGTAACAATACACTACATAGCATCAAAATAGGAATAGTCTTAAGTACAAAATAGAAAAATGCATATCAATTCAAAAATTTGAAATGAACAATTTTGAAAACTTATGGTCACCATGGATTAATATTTTTGAGCTATAAACATTTATTAAAGCACCAACAATAATTATTTTTTCAAATGGAATACTTGTTAATAATTTTCTTTTACTTAATTCTTGTTTAAAGTCAGAAGGGGAAGTGTGAATGTGTGAGAGAATGTGAGAAAAAGTTTCAGTATGTTACTTGATATATCTTTTTTTTCTAATTAAAAAAAAGAAAAAAGAAAAAAAAAGGAATAGTCACTAGTCTTCTGTATAACTACTATAACGAATAGGTACGATACACTACACAGCATCAAAATAGGAATAGTCACTAGTCTTCTGTATGACATGACAGAGTTTGGGTGTAGGTTTAAAATTCCCCTTTAAAAGAACTAAATACATATGCAGTAGTGTTTGTATTCTGTATGTTACAGTAGTGTTTGTATTCTGCATGTTACAGTAGATTTGATATCTGGTGCAGTAGTGTTTGTATTCTGTATGTTACAGTAGTGTTTGTATTCTGTATGTTACAGTAGATTTGATACCTGGTGCAGTAGTGTTTGTATTCTGTATGTGCAGTACTGTTTGAATTCTGTATGTTACAGTAGATTTGATATCTGGTGCAGTAGTCTTTGTATTCTGTATGTTACAGTAGTGTTTGTATTCTGCATGTTACAGTAGATTTGATATCTGGTGCAGTAGTGTTTGTATTCTGTATGTTACAGTAGTGTTTGTATTCTGTATGTTACAGTAGATTTGATATCTGGTGCAGTAGTGTTTGTATTCTGTATGCTACAGTAGTGTTTGTATTCTGTATGTTACAGTAGATTTGATATCTGGTGCAGTAGTGTTTGTATTCTGTATGTTACAGTAGTGTTTGTATTCTGTACGTCACAGTAGATTTGATACCTGGTGCAGTAGTGTTTGTATTCTGTATGTTACAGTGGTGTTTGTATTCTGTATGTTACAGTACATTTGATACCTGGTGCAGTAGTGTTTGCTGAACAGGAAGTAATCTCTGCTTGGGTTGTTATTGTGACAGGTGTAGTTTCCATGGATACACTGTCTACTGTGGCAGTTCCATTACACTCGGATGTTGACACATCCGATGAACTAACTTCTGTCACAGCTGAAAAGATAAAAGTTTATTTTCATGTAGTCGAAAGTCATGCATGTATTTGTATTTCATTTGTACTTTTTAAGAACTATGACATATTCTACAACATAAACTAAGCTCATCCTCATCTTGCACACCTGGTGTTTATATTAAGTGTTCTTCAAATATTAGTTGAACTTGGAAGACTGATATAATAATAAGCAACATTACTGAGGCTAAAATTTAGATCAACATGCTTTAAAGACTGTTGTGCCACAAATCCACATATGTATATACACCTCTTCATAAATAATCTTCAAACATAAAAAATATGACCTTGTTTGTGAACATAAATAATGTTGATATATTCAGTTTGAGATGATGGGACAAAACACAAGCTTTGATGAAGCAATAAATATCACGTGCAGAAGTATTTATTTAATTATTAAGTTGTATCTCATACTTTGATGGATCACCCTGACAGCATTACCTTTTATTGCATTAATTAACCCATTTTTCTTTTCATGTAAAGATACAGATTATGATTAATATCAATTGTAATCGATGAGCCTTTAATTCTTAGCAATATATGTAGTAATTTTAAATGTACTTTAGCAGACACACATGGATTCCTATGCATAAAAATTCATAAGTATTTAAGCACATACATGTACTTCATGAAGTTCCTGCAAAGTAGATTGAATTTTACTTCATATAGGTATTTGCCTATTGCTGGCAAAAAACAGTACATGCTAAGTAAAGTATGATATTTACTCGTTTAATTTCTTATGCCTATTGCTTAAAATGTGCTGAACTGCAGACAATATTTAAGATTTACTCAAAAAGCAAACAAATTTACTACAGATTAAATAAAACATGAATCATGACTAAAACTGGTAGTAATACATTGTTGTCTAATGTGTAAATCAGTTAACTGAAGAAGCCACTATATGTGATAAAGAGGAGTCCGCTGTGTTTATCAGTTAACCGAAGAAGCCCCTCTATGTGATAGAGGAGTCCGCTGTGTTTATCAGTTAACTGAGGCAGCTTCTCCACAAGATAAAGAGGAATCATTTGTATCTATCAGATAACAGAGGCAGCCCCTCTAAGTGATAAGGAGGAGTTTGTTGTGTTTATCAGATAACAAAGGCAGCCCCTCTATGTGATAAAGAGGAGTCTGTTGTGTTTAACAGATAACAAAGGCAGCCCTCTAAGTGATAAAGAGGAAGTTTGTTGTGTTTATCAGGTAACAAAGGCAGTCCCTCTATGTGATAAAGAGGAGTCTGTTGTGTTCATCAGGTAACTGAGGCAGCCCTTCTATGTGATAAAAAGGAGTCTGTTGTGTTTATCAGGTAACAAAGGCAGCCCTCTAAGTGATAAAGAGGAAGTTTGTTGTGTTTATCAGGTAACTGAGGCAGCCCCTCTATGTGATAAAGTGGAGTCTGAAGTGTTTATCAGGTAACAAAGGCAGCCCTCTAAGTGATAAAGAGGAAGTTTGTTGTGTTTATCAGGTAACTGAGGCAGCCCCTCTATATGATAAAGAGGAGTCTGTTGTGTTTATCAGGTAACAAAGGCAGCCCTCTAAGTGATAAAGAGGAAGTTTGTTGTGTTTATCAGGTAACTGAGGCAGCCCCTCTATGTGATAAAGAGGAGTCTGTTGTGTTTATCAGGTAACAAAGGCAGCCCTCTAAGTGATAAAGAGGAAGTTTGTTGTGTTTATCAGGTAACTGAGGCAGCCCCTCTATATGATAAAGTGGAGTCTGTTGTGTTTATCAGGTAATTGAGGCAGCCCCTCTATGTGATAAAGAAAAGTTTGTTGTGTTTATCAGTGAACTGAGGCAGCCCCTTTATAAGATAAAGAGGAGTTTGTTGTGTTGATCAGTGAACTGAGCCAGTCCCTCAATGTGATAAATAGGAGTCTGTTGAGTTTATCAGGTAACTAAGGCAGCCCTCTAAGTGATAAAGAGGAAGTTTGTTGTGTTTATCAGGTAACAAAGGCAGCCCCTCTATGTGATAAAGAGGAGTCTGTTGTGTTTATCAGTGAACTGAGGCAGCCCCTCTATGTTTCAAGAGGAAGTTTGTTGTGTTTATCAGATAACAGAGGCAGTCCCTCTATGTGATAAAGAGGAGTCTGTGGTGATTATCAGGTAACTGGGGCAGCCCCTTTATGTGATAAAGAGGAGTCTGTTGTGTTTATCAGGTAACAAAGGCAGCCCTCTAAGTGATAAAGAGGAAGTTTGTTGTGTTTATCAGGTAACTGAGGCAGCCCCTCTATGTGATAAAGAGGAAGTTTGTTGTATTTATCAGATAACAGAGGCAGTCCCTCTATGTGATTAAGAGGAGTTTGTTGTGTTTATCAGGTAACTGAAGCAGATCCTCTATATGATAAAGTGGAGTCTGTTGTGTTTATCAGGTAACTGAGGCAGCCCCTCTATGTGATAAAGAGGAGTTTGTTGTGTTTATCAGTGAACTGAGGCAGCCCCTCTATGAGATAAAGAGGAGTTTGTTGATCAGTGAACTGAGGCAGTCCCTCTATGTGATAAAGAGGAGTCTGTTGAGTTTATCAGGTAACTAAGGCAGCCCTCTAAGTGATAAAGAGGAAGTTTGTTGTGTTTATCAGGTAACTGAGGCAGCCCCTCTATGTGATAAAGAGGAGTTTGTTGTGTTTATCAGTGAACTGAGGCAGCCCCTCTATGTGATAAAGAGGAAGTTTGTTGTGTTTATCAGATAACAGAGGCAGTCCCTCTATGTGATAAATAGGAGTCTGTTGTGATTATCAGGTAACTGGGGCAGCCCCTCTATGTGATAATTAAAGAGGAGTTTGTTGTGTTTATCAGGTAACTGAGGCTGATCCTCTATATGATAAAATGGAGTCTGTTGAATGTATAGAAAGTATTCTCTGCTAGGGCTGTTATGGTTACAGGTGTAGTAGCCCCTATTTGCGATAGAAAGTACATGTAGTCTGTTGTTTTTCATGAAGCTGAGGTGGTCCCTGAAGTTGTAAAGAAAAGTACTTATTGTTTAGCATGTATCTAAAACCAACAAGTTATAGAGTAGTCTATTTACAAGACACACTTTGAGTTGGGGACAATATTACACAAGTTAAGAGCCCTGTTATCTATTCTCATAAACAATGCTGATAAAACACAAGATTCTACTTCAACACTCTTCAAAATTGACGAAGTCACTAGTATGATATTACTTTTCAAAGACTTTCTTTATCTGGAGATGAAGTCTAACAGTAAAATATTGTTAAGATTTGGTGGGACCTATCAGTATTAGGTTATACAATAAAAAAAGAAAATTGTCATAGGAAAATGATGATATATTACTTTATACAGTTGATCTTCATTATCTCAAACACTGATATCTCAAATACCAGGGCTATGTGGAAGTGGTCCGGAGGTCCAAACCAGTTCTTCTCACTGTTTTTATTTAACCTTAGGTTGGATATTAGTTTGAGATAATAAGGTTTGACTGTAGATTCAGACTTAAATTTTACTTAACTCTCAAGAGCTATACATGTATATCTAAACACCTCCATAGATTAATTCTTATTTAAATTACCACATTAAAAAAATTTTTTTAAAAAAAGCTCTCCTTTCTAAATGAATATTTCATTTAAAAAATATGCACAACACCTCATACAATATATTTAGGAAAGAGAATGTCAGATGTGATCATGGTACTGGATGATGATTGGCAGAATTGCATAATAATTTAAAATTGTCAAAGCTTTATAAAAGATATATCAATTTACCCTGACTTTCTATTATAATAACAATACCCACAGTTAACTTATCAATCTGTAAATCAGGATGAATTTTCAGTATGTACCTCCATATATTGTACCAGTATATAATGAATACTTGATTACTGTATGTTAAGTCACCGAGAGCACTTTCCATGCAACAACACTTGTACACATTTACACCACTGATCTTATCTCCATAATAATGTAGTATGAAAAACAGCTAGGAGGAATTCCATCTGCATTTATAAGACTGCAACTTAATCCACACACATAATGCTTCCATGCAATCTACAGAAATTTTTCATCAATTCCTGCATAAGAGAAGAGATTAGGAATTGTAGACTTACAAGGGATAAATGATTCCGGAGACGATCATCGAGAATCACACGTCTGTTCCTAGCTCTATTGATCTATACATGATTCCTACAGTGTCAACCTCTCACAGAATGTACAGCAAGGCCCACGCCCTAACGATCACAAACCCTTATACCTGGAGTTCTCTAGATGTAGAACTAGACAGTCACAAATATATATATCCACAAATACATATATATCCACATCAAATAGAAATTCACCTAGGCTTCTTGATGAACTGTGAGAGAAATGGCGGAATCAGAGAGAGAGAGAGAACACACCTAGTTGTTGGGCTGTCGTTGATGTGACACGAGTCCAGGTATTCTGTCCCCACATCACATGACTACTTTACGCAGCATCCAATTCAGCATTCACAGGGATTCTTTATGACACATTACTGCTCTATAGATTCCAATACATCTGCAGATAAACCCTCGACTCCCAGTGATGCAGCAGAACAGTCATAACAATGTCTTGGTACACACATTGCAGCAATTTATTCACACCTCTAAAGTTATACCAAGTCATAATGGAAGGGAGAGACACATTAGAACTAGAAATCTGAAGACCCAGTGTGAGGATCAACAAAGCTGGACCAAGAATACAGAAAATTAACAAACCCAAGGTATTTAAGAATTCTGTAAGCAAGCTATTATATATTGACATGATTGAGCTGTTCCATTTTGTCAGATATGGCTTCATGTAATATTTACATGAATATACTATAAGACAGATGTAAATATAACTACATATTGTAATTATATCTTTGGTAAATGAAATTGCTTAATATTCTTTATTTAGAATTTAAAGATGATATGAGTCTAAAAACCTAACACTATATGATAAATGTTAGCTGCAACTAGAGCAAATAAAGACAAACAAGACAAAAAGATAAACATCTACAATATTATATTTATTGATCAGAATGCTTGATCTAGTATAAGTCACAGTTTTAGGAGAGACAAACAATTAAAGGTAGCTATTGTTAGGAGATTGTATTGAAAATACTAAACAATACTGTCAAATCACGTATTTTCATTCTGAGAAATTTTTTGTGGTTTGAGGAAAAAATATTGGTTCATTGGGATTTGATTTCAAGGTTTGTTATACATCAGATAAGTTTAAATTTTTACGTTTCATGGAGGACATGAATTCATGGGTCTCTTTATACCTTGAAAACAACAAAAATAAAAATATAGTCTTGGGCAATCTGACAATTAATGAATTGGAGATACAATTCAATCATTTAATCAAAAATTATAGAAATTTACTTATGAGAAAATAAATTTATATTTACTATGATTTTACCCTAAATTACACAAAATTTTAAAAATGTGTTGTGTATTCCATGAAACTTATAATAACATAACTGTGTATTAACTACAGTCAGTATCTTCTGCTGGCCAAATTTCAGAAACTTATTTTTAATTTGGGTATTGTCATCCCTCATTATTGATTACTGAAACCAATATAATATTTACATTGATATTGAGTTTAAAATATTTAAAGTAAATATTAAAGTAAATATTTTGAATAGAAATGATTTAAAACTGTAAGAACAATGAACCTTGGTAGCATTGTTTATCCCGTATTTGCTATTATAATAGACAGATGTGTCATATATAAAGTCTGTTTGAATGCAAGTTCATTATCTTGTTAGTACAACAACAAGAGTCTAATGCTTAAATTAATTTGGATTTTCGTGGTAAGGATAGATTTGTTGTTTCTGACTTTTGTTAATGTTTTATACATCTGGGATGGACTATCTTCGTCAGCCATTTTTGTTTGATTTTTTCGTTAGGTTGAGGTAAAAAAGGGAAGATTAGTTTGAACAAAGAAAAATTACCAACATTGGCAATTTTTAATTACAAAAATAACTAATTAATTATTCACATCATTTCATTTATGATGACCACTAATCAGAAGTTGGCTACAATTTTTACATCACTATAAATACCCCCCCCCCCCCAAAAATTGTGATTTAACAGTACAAAATGCCACTTCAATCAAAGTTCTCAAGGTCAATCAATATTCATATTGACCAAGGGAAATATCACTGTTTAATTATCCAATTCTCATATATCACTGGAGGGTGAGTTTATTCATTCTGTCATTCTAATTAAGGAATACATTCTGTATACAATGTTATATTTTTATAAGAATGTCTAATAGAATGACTCGAAGCAAAAGGAAATTATTCTGAATTACTGCAGCAAGAGCTTAATAAGATTTCCACAAACTATGTCTGCTTTTCGTAACCCAAATGAAATGCCTTTGGTCCGTACCATCACATCTGTCAGAACATTCCAAAACACGTATGACTGTATATAACATATAACTGTAATCCTGCTTGAAATAACCCTACAATCAAAAGCTGGGACACACTGAATGGTTGTTAAGAAGAAGTCCAAATTTAATACAACCCCAAAAACCTTCCAACTGACTTCTACTATATACCCCAGATACAGATGTAAATGATTACAATATTAAAACACAGTTACGGTATATCATACACAGTTATAATGAAATCTTTTTATTAAGAAGTCATATAAATATATAACGAAATTAATAAAGGAAATATAACAATTACGATTTTGATGTTTTCTGAATTGAACTATGTTTCCAGTATTAACAAATAGAAAGACTTACATCACTATACAAATCCTGCCTAGATTTTAACGGAGTTTCTGACTTAGTGTGTCAAACAAGACATATAGAAGGACCAAATAAAACATTCAGACAACAGGATGTTACTACTATCATAACAGATTATCCAGATTTAAAAAAAAAACGTACAAAGGATGTCTACAATATGTGTACTAAGTAACGGTACATGACTACTATCAACATTAGATACTGTACACCGATAACTATCCCATTCAAGTGTCTTCTTCATTTACATGATCCTTCACAGTTTTTATCACACCATTTTAAGTTTAAGTCAGGAAAAGTCACAATACAAATAAAATATTCTTATGTAAATGGATACCATTTTTTCCTTATAGTGGACAGTACATATGTATTTCATACAAAATGCTTATAATTTCCTGTGATTTCACAACTGTGAACAAGACAACCATAAAAACTGTGACCAGCTCTCAGGTTTAAATGGTGTTATATAGAAAATATTACATACTTAAATCCATATCATATGTCATAACAGCCCAAAAGGCCCTATATCAGCACTAGTGCTGATATAGGACCTGAGGGCTGATATGACATATGATATGGATTTTGGTATGTAATAGGAATTTTGCAAGTCGGTCTGATACATGATATGGGTTTTCAGACTGGTAGTTGATATGAGGTATTGTGATGTCAATCATATCACACAGTGCAGAATTGGTGTATTAACTACTAAGTATATAATAAAGAGAGGTTCGTACCCTCAGTACTTGCAATGATAGACTCTAGAGGAGGCATCCATTATCTACCCTCTGTATAGACATGGTTAAACTGGTAGTGACTGTTACCTACCCCCTGAATAGATTTGGTTAGATTCAGATGGTACACACCCTCTGTATGGATTTGGTAAGATTTGGATGTGACATACACCCTGTTTAGACTTGGTTAGATTTGGATGTGACATACCCTCTGTATAGACTTGGTTAGATATGGATGGTACCTACACTTGGTTAGATATGGATGGTACCTACCTCCCATATAGACTTGGTTAGATATGGATGGTACCTACCCTCCGTATAGACTTGGTTAGATATGGATGGTACCTACCCCCTGTATAGACTTGGTTGGATTTGGATGGTACCTACCCTCTGTATAGACTTGGTTAGATATGAACGGTACCTACCTCCCATATAGACTTGGTTAGATATGAATGGTACCTACCCCCTGTATAGACTTGGTTAGATTTGGATGGTACCTACACTCCATATAGACTTGGTTAGATATGGATGGTACCTACCCCCTGTATAGACTTGGTTGGATTTGGATGGTACCTACCCTCTGTATAGACTTGGTTAGATATGAACGGTACCTACCTCCCATATAGACTTGGTTAAATATGAATGGTACCTACTCCCTGTATAGACTCGGTTAGATATGGATGGTGCCTACCCTCTGTATAGACTTGGTTAGATTTGGATGTGACATACCCTCTGTATAGACTTGGTTAGATTTGGATGTGACATACCCTCCGTATAGACTTGGTTAGATATGGATGGTACCTACCCCCCATATAGACTTGGTTAGATATGGATGGTAGCTACCCTCTGTATAGACTTGGTTAGATTTAGATGGTACCTAACCCCTGTATAGACTTGGATAGATATGGATGGTACCTACCCCCAGTATAGACTTGGTTAGATATGGATGGTACCTACCCCCAGTATAGACTTGGTTAGATTTAGATGGTACTACCCTCTGTTTGGCCTTGGTAACAGGTTAGATTTGGATGGTATGTACCCTCTGTGTTGACATGCTTAGATTTGGATGGTACCTACCCTCTGAATGGACTTTGTTAGATAAGGATGGTACCTACCATCTGTGTTGAGTCTGTGGACATGGTTTGACTAGGATGGTACCTAACCTCTGTGTTGAAGTGGTTAGATTCGGATGTGACCTACCCTCTGTATTTCTGTGGTTAGATTAAATGGTACCTACCCTCTGTGTTGATGTGGTTAGATTCAGATGTGACCTACCCTCTGTATTGGTGTGGCTAGATTAAATGGTACAGGTCTATGCTCCGTATTGAAGTGGTTAGATTCGGATGTGACCTACCCTCTGCATTGGTGTGGTTAGATTAAATGGTACCTACCCTCTGTATTGATGTGGTTAGATACGGATGTGACTTACCCTCTGTATTGGTGTGGTTAGATTCGGATGTGACCTACCCTCTGTATTGGTGTGGTTAGATTTGGAAGTGACCTACCCTCTGTATTGGTGTGGTTAGATTCGGATGTGACCTACCCTCTGTATTTATGTGGTTAGATTAAATGGTACCTACCCTCTGTGTTGATGTGGTTAGATTCGGATGTGACCTCCACTTGCAGACTCTGGGCATTATCAGCAGTCTTGGGTTCGCCTGATGTCGGCTTTGATGTTGAAACTGCATCAACATCTTTCAACACACCTTTGCGTATTAATTCTTCTCGTGTTGATCTTATTGAAATTTTTCTTTCTATTTCTACAAAGAATAGAAATTGGAAAAATACAATATACACTCTAATATAGAAGTACTGAATTTTACAGAAATTTCTTCCTATTTATATGTACACCTCAAAACACAAAAATGAGAAATTGTTTATTTGTAATTACATGTATATGATATACTGTCCTAACACAGGAGGAAAGTTTACACTAAAATTAACAGGAAGAAACTCAAATGGATTATTGTACTGGGGATACATGAAAACTATATCTTGCATTAAACTCATGTGAATCATAATTGATTTTAAGTATCAATTGTTGATGAGCAAAAACATTAACTGTACACTGTACATCAATGTACATATGTGACAACTACCTGACAAATCTTTACATTTATCTGTCCAAACTAAAATGTTACCCTAAATAATGTTATCAACAAATAAATACAATCAAACTCCTGTCGTTCAAAAATTCACTATTCTACACACAAGGAAAAACCTCAAATAGATCAGCTGGTGGTTTGTGAAAAATTTCGATCAACCAATATACAATACACTGTAGATTGATTTATAAATCAGCTTCAGGCATTGTTTGTTATGATTCAGTATTATCTTACCTTTCGCTGTTCTCTCTATCTTTTCACTCTTTTTCTTCCTTTTCCATTTCCAGGGTTTGAATATTTTCCCTATGGAGGAGAACTTGCTTTTCCTCTCTGGGGGAGGTGTATGCTGCGTTGTGGTACTCAGTGTGGCTGATTTCATTTCGCCATTCTTTTTCTTGTCTGTGAAAAATCAAACACAAATCAATACGAGTTTGTCATAACTTCCCTGCTGAAGTAATTCTTGTATTGTCCCAGTTCGTAATTGAAAATCAATACTGCATGGGGAAATGACCAGCAAACGTAAATAATATGTACCAGGAAAATGAAAACATGAAGTCAGTCACTTGACAGTGTGTTATGTATCACTATAAATACAATGGTCCCTTTCTCTGGCACTTCATTCACAAAACCCTAGTCCTAGACTGTCAGTATCTAGTTCTTCTGATGAATGGTTAGAACAACTGGTCAAATATGTGGGTCGTGGGCAGTGTTCAACCACAAAAGTCTGAGTCACATTGCCATTGGATTCTCAGAACATCAACACAGCGCAAACACATTCCACAATTTAATAATCCCACTGTAAACAAGTGAAAGCATCAATACATAAACCTGAAAATCACTGAATACTTCAATAGGAAACAATTATAGACTTTATTGCTCTTGATCAATCCTGACCAATAGCAATTAAAATCAACCCTAAGAGGTACCACAATGGTTTAATTACAAGCATTCAACTTCCTTCATTACTAATGGATGACAATATGATGTGAACAGAAGAAATTAAACTAAAAGAAGACAACTCCATATAAAAAAAAATATCAATATTTCAGTTGTCCATGAAGAATCTGCTATCCTTCAACTATAATACCTGAGTCTTCAACTCTACCCTAGTGAATGTTTGAAAGAGTATGACAATTCCTTGATGCAGACAACCTGATGATCACAGAAATGATTCTAAATGTTCAATGTATCTTGAACATTCATACATGTACACACAAACACATATGCACACATATACATACACACACACATGTACACACATACACCTATTACAGGGCCTAAAATAAAAAAAATGTTTGCAGTTGCCTACCCACCCACTAAAAATGTTGCCAACCCAAAAAAATTTTTTCAGCCATTTTGAGATAATCTTTTTTTTTTTTTTTACTTTAGTAACCCTATGAAAATCCCTTTGACTTGTTATCCAATAAAAACCTGAAAACTAAAATCTCTTTTTACATACCTACCTACCCACTCTAAAAATTATGGGTCGGCAACTGCAAACAAGGAATTTTTTAAGCTTGACCTAGGTATTAGGGTAATCTTCAAAACAAACTGCTGGTTTAAGGGATACTTTATGTTGTGTATAAATTACTAATTACACCAAACCTAATTACCTAGCACTTTCTTATAACCTACTTTGTTGTACATCATTGACACAGTGACAAATAACCAATCCTGACCTATTTATATTGTCAAATTACTCATCTCCATGCAGGTACTTCTTATTCCTAATGCTGAGTATGATATACTGATGTACTAAACCTGTACTCTGGTATTACAGTCTTGTCCATGCTTGTTAACTGAATGAATTTAATTTTTATCTTAAATTAATTTTTACTGTGCATTGTAGAAGAGATGACAGGTTGTATTGGTTTTTATTTGTAATCAAGACTTCACCTTCCTTGTCTTAGTGACTTCTCCTCTTCTGTAGAACTTTCCTGACAGAAGGAGGACAGATCAATATGACATTGTTTTCCTGTTATTTTTTCCAATATTTGTCTGCCTGATTAGAAGGCTTATACACAGGTAATGTCTGTCCTATGTATTAATTTAGTGAGATAATACATTTACTGGAATCTCAAATTTAACCTCTGACACAGGTTCTACCATGACTGTGGGTTATAATAGTCACCCTCTATGAGGAATAGTCCATTGTATTTGTGTGGATCTTTGTTATTTTATTGTATCAATGTTATTATATGATTACTGGTGTATGTACAGTAGTATGCAGACTCAGTAAAATCCATATTTACTAACAGTGTGACAATGTGTTTACATATTTACCCATGTTGGCTGAACTGAAAAGCTTTACAACAAATCCCACTTCTGACTGCCTCACACATATTCATTAAAATGGTGTAACAGGAAAGGAGAAATTACATGGATGGACTGGGAATCAAGCCTGGGACCCCTGCATCACTAGTCAGGTGCTCTAACAACTGAGCCACCAATGTTGATATCCACGGCCCAAACCATTACATTCCTCCCTCCTTAAATTGTCTTCGCCCCCGAAGACACAACCCAAGTTCTTTTTGCCCCCTAGCAAGACTTTCACCTGCAAGTCCAGGGGTGGTCAACTGCACCAGATGGTGTAAAAGGAAAGGAGAAAAAAAATGTATGGCTGGTCAGGCTTGACCAAGAATTAAACCGGGGACCCCTTCTTCTCTAGTCAGGTGTTCTACCAACTGAGCTACAGAGGGTGATATCCATGACCCAAATCATTACTAACTTGAGCATTTCAAGCTTCGAGTTTAGAAAGTGTCTTTTTTATGACACCATTACCAATACTACAATGAGATAAAAGGAATTTAATTTGTAATATCATATGTATACTATTGCTTTCACATGGTATTGATAGGCAAAGAAATTTTAAAATTAAGTATAGACACTATGATCAAAGAATTAAATTATCTCCCTCGTCTTGTACATGTACTCACTAATTACTAAAAGCCCCAGTAAAGCAAGTAGGAAGTGTACAGCATAATTTACTATTATTTTAATCATTACAAAACATTGCAGAATTTTCCTTTATTAAACCATAAAAGGCCTGCAGACAGTGCACTAGTCCAGCTGGACTTTAATGCCAACAAAAGTAAGTGTCAAACCTTGATGCATCCTTTTATTCTAAAGTCACTTTTTTCTTTCTTTGTGTCCCTTTTTTTTTTATTTTCCTACTGACACTATCATGCCAATTGTTGATTTTGATAAAATATATTATAGAAACATTTTTGAATACCACTTGATACAAGATTTTATTGCAATCTTTCAAGAAATATAAAAAAGAAGTTATTTACATTGTATACAATTAACCAAGTATATAAGATATATTGGATGATTTTATGTTTAGCTAACAGCAATGCTCACAAACTAAATTTTACACTAAGAGCACACTGGTTATTAAATATGGTTCATGAATACCTTCTAGATCGCAGGAGTTATCAAAAAGAAAGCTTACAATGGACTCTGGGTCCTTAATGATCTACATAAAACAGGTGACAACTACCTTGCAAACATGTTTGTTAAACATTAGGTATTCACTAACTTAATATCTTTGGCATCCTAGCATTGTCTACCAACAGGATGACAGAATCCATCACTATATACCAGATATAAGGTTATTCACATGACTGACAGATCAGGCTCCTCTATATTTTTGACATATTTAAGTGATTCCTGAACTCTGATAAAAATGTACTTCCTTTCCAATTTGTGTCACTTTACAACACTTCAATATAGTGTAGTACAAACATGCCTGAGTCAAGAAAAAACCAAATCATCTTTAAACTCCACTTGACTCTCAGGCAATTTAATTGAAGACATTAGGTTCTCAGAGAAAATGCACGATAAATGCCTTAAAAACTCTCTGATAACATACAGTAGTTATTACAGTGACATGGTTGTGTTTTATAAGTATGCATATCCTAAAACAGGGTCATTCACCTCTCTGTTTTAATTAGCACTGCCCTAATGAATGAACACATACAAAATACCGGGTAACTGCATCTCTTCCTTAAAGAAATTAACCCAAGTTTGAAAGTTAAAACTACCTCTTACCAAAATAAAAAGGGACGGTACTGAAATTCATTTCCATTTAAGGACAGATGATACAAACAAACTTTTCTCATAAAAATTGAAAATAACAACTTGAGTCATGTTTTAATGAGTAAAATGAACAAGTTTCACCACGTAGTTTTTCATTTTTCATTCAAAGTTTCACAACAATGGGATTTGAAGTGAAAAATATTTGTATAGATTAATAAGGATGGTTGCAGAAAGGTAGAATTTTGAACATCATAGAAGGTTAACAATTTCTTAATATTTTAGAAATTTATTATTTGCATCATTTGCAACAAAAATAAACCCAGAAATATATAATACCAATCCAGGCATTCATTTTTTGGTTTGTATCATCTGTCCTTAAATGAGCTAAGTCTAAAACTCACAATTTCATTACTTACTACTAATCTAGAAAAAGTGATGGGGGAAAGATTAAATAGTTTTAACTGCTTCATTTGTTGTCCAGAATGAGCAATTATAATAAAGAAACGCCCATTCACTAATACTTTATCAACCTTATCCCATGCAAAATATGTGAATAATGTGTGTTTTTGCATACATGTATTAGACACATGAATATAATCTATACAAGGGGTTCCAACTACAAATGATGCCTTAATTTGTATCAAACTGTCTCCATGCAATTAAGAACTTTGAAGGTCATACACGATACCGGTAACTTGATCCTCATCATAATTCTTGTATACTTGTACAAACAATTTAATCCCAGTATAAAACAGTGTGAAGATGTGAATACATTAGCCACTGTATGTGACTGTGTATATGGCCTCGTCCAATGTAGATCACACAAAGGGCCAGTCCACTCCCAGGAAAAGATTATTTTCCACTTTACCTGAGATTGATGTACCTGTGTCTTAGTACACTATCTTTGCCATGATATAAAGTTACCTGCCTCACCTTTCGAATCATCGTTTGACAAGGTATCTATCCCACATTAACTACCCAGACATAACTGAGGTGTCATCTCTCTCTAAACTCTGTCATTGACACATGCTGGGTATAGTCCCAGCTTTATCTCAACCCTCTAATCTTCCTGTACATAAATATTTGTGTGGCCTTCGACTAAACACTCTTTGTTGACTAAAGGCATAAAGACTGTGTCCTTTCAGACATGTAACTCTTACAGTTTTTACATTACCATTTAATTCATTCATTACACAAATTGTCCACTAAAATTTAGGATTCGGTCCAACACATCATTCGTTTAAATCATAAGAAGTTATAAAAACATTTGTTGAATCTCAACACATCACAATGCTCACTGAGAAACACTGGTGGACATTTTGTCCTGGTCTACAGTTTGTAAATCTGAGTAAACAGTGACTGTCCACTGACAGCTGAAATACCTACAGGATTCAGCTATCTTACTATTTCATAGGAATTCTGATCTATTTATTCACTCCAGAAATCCAGTCAAACAGACTGCTGCTTAAACTGTGTGATTAATGAGTTAAAAAAATCTTAACAATAATATCAGAGTTGTAGGTCCTAGTCTTCAGGTCTTGGTATATCAATAATATCAGAGTTGTAGGTCCTAGTCTTCAGGTCTTGGTATATCATCAGAGTTGTAGGTCCTAGTCTTCAGGTCTTGGTATATCAACAATATCAGAGTAGTAGGTCCTAGTCTTCAGGTCTTGGTATATCATTAATATCAGTTATAGGTCCCAGTCTTCAGGTCTTGGTATATCATTAATATAAGAATTACAGGTCCTAGTCTTCAGGTCTTGGTATATCAATAATATCAGAGTTGTAGGTCCTAGTCTTCAGGTCTTGGTCTTCTCTTTTCAAATCCTGATCTGCCTTCTCACTTACAGATATCTATGTGTAAATGGTCACACATGGGATAGACCTAAATCTTTCTCTTGTACCCAGCATCCTCAAAGAATCCCATCCTAATCTATTGATACAAACTATTGGTCCACACAAAAAAAAAACCTGTAGTTGAAAGTCAATATACACCATAAATAACAATAACCATGGATCTGATGATATTTCGAGACTTTGTAAGTACATGGTATTGAAATTATAGGGAAACCAGTACAATCAAAAGAGAACCAGGGGAGTCAGGCACACAAAAGAAGGAAATCCCAGTTTTAATATCACCAAGTCATTATAACTTTATAAGCTGAAATACATCTTTGAAATGAATTAAACCCTAAGAGTGAGAACACTTGTACACAGTTTAACCAACACTTCAATGAATGAGGCAAAAAGACAAAAGTAGCTTACTATGTATATGAACTAACTGGTACTAACTCCATCTAACAGGAAATTAAAACTCAATGATTTTCATGTCTTTATGATAGATTATTTTTAGTAATTGATAATTACAGGTACACCTCTGAAATTTACAGGCATTATACACAAATACAAAAGAACTAGAAAAGGGGCATTCCAACAGATAAAATAACCTGATTTAATTAACAGTGACAATTAGTGTATATGTCTAAATATTTCAAATACTTGAGTTGTCAAATATTTCAACATACAGAACTTTTTCAGAAAATTAATTCTTAAGCACGGACTGTTTACCCTCGTACATTATCTAATATACTAAAGCAACTAGAGTACCAACTTATACGGATAAAAAAAATCCTGATATGAAATAAGGCACAGCGTACAATAGTTTTTTATGTACAGTGTACAATAATTTTCTTAAAAATATTCTTCTTAAATGTTTAGCCCTTAGAAAAAAAAAATTATTTTTCACTGAAAATGTCCATGCTTGATAATCAGAGAACTTCCTTAAATTTGAAGAATGCTCAACACATTTAGAAAACCATGTTAAGCTATGGCCTGCAGGTCTAAAACATTGTGGTAGATACATGCTGAGGACAACATGACAAATAGCCTACTGCTTGTCAGTTTAAAACTTACACAAACATTCATGAATGTACTGCAGTCTTGCCATAATCAAAAATCATACTTAAAATTCACCTTTTTAAAAAAAGTGTACCTGGTTGAATTCATTAGAATAAAGGCCACAATCAACCACGAAATTAAGGTCAACAAATAAAGATTTCTTTTTTCCAGAAAAAAAAACTGAAGAACAATTTACCTTTCTTCTTTCTTCGTAGCCTCATCATTTACAAAAGTTAAACTCCAGAAACAATGTAAATTCCAGGTAGAAAATTCAGATGGTCCTAGCCTCAGAAAGACAAATGTTCCAGATGAGTGAGAGCGGGGAAATCCAAGAGGAATCTGTAATAACTATATTCTTGTCATACGTTTCACAGCCCAGTGAGTTAGGCACAAATACCACAACCAGATAGAAAACTGATACCTCAGGCAGGCCCGTCACTCGGCCATGTGACACCTAAACTTTAAATATGTAAGATACATATTATTATTTCAACTCTGTTTACAGCCCCCTTGTTTATCTATAGCTAATACCTGCCATGTATCTAGGTCACAGAGATGGTTAATGGGGGATCAGACAAGTATGTATAATACCTGAAAACATTACACACTTTGAAATGGACACCTTATTACCTAGTCCTCATAATGAAATAGTATGGACATTAACAACCTGCAGTTTTTAAATTACAGACCGCTGGTAAGTGGTTTATGTATCTCTTAAACTTTCATTAAACAGATAAATAATTGAATTAAATATAACATGAAAATTTATTTGATAATTATACAGAAACAAGTGCAAAAAATCTTATATCTAGCATTCATTTCCTGGTGTGCAGTTTGTGCACTGAAATTAAGATGCCTGTTTGAGATTATATAAATATATATATAATTAATGCACATTCTGAAGCCATGATTTTGTTGAGATTTTGTTGACCAAAACTTAACAGAGAACAGGAAGTTAGGAGACAGGAAGATTGTACAAACACACATTACAAGGTGATCTAGAATCAGGAAGTAAGGCCCCAGGACCACAATACTCACCTGCATTAATAGTTTAGGGCATACACTTTAGATTCCTTATTACAAATTTGTACTGTACCAAGTTAAGCCAAGAGGTGAAATATCAACATACTTGAATAAACTCATACAGTTGAACTTCGGTATCTCAAACACGGATATCTTGAATACCATGGCTATGTTGTCCTAACCAGGTATTTCTTACTAGGTATTTTACCCTTGATATCTCGAAGTTTTTTCTTGGTCCCATCAAATTCAAGATAACGAGGTTTGAGTCTGTAGATACAAGTAGTACATCTACACTAAAATCAAGAGGCCCACAGGCCAAATTGCTCACCCGAGTTAACTTAGCCCTGCTGTTTACCAGAAAATTTTCAAAAGATTTTTTCTCTCTTTATGCCCATGAAAATTTTCAATCAAATATCATGGCTCCAATATAGTCCCAAGTTGTCATGACTTAACCAAACTTGAATCCAAACCACATTGGGTTCTGAATATTAATATGACTCATATGACCTTGCTGCTCTTGAGAAGACATTGGAGAAAAATTATTCCCTGGTGATATACATTTATTATTTTAAATTTTATTTCTGCTTTTAGCTCCATCCCAGGCACAGTGTCCATAATTCAAACAAAGTTGAAGCCATAAGACATGCTATTGGAATGTTAGCATATCAGTATGTTGCTTTGTCACTCTCAAAAAAAAAAAAACCTTTATATTCCAATATATAGAATTTAGAATACCGAATACCTATTCTAACCCCAAATTATCCACAGGAGCCATATACTGAACATATATAAATCTGCTCTTAAGAAGTTTCTCCTATAAATTCCATATGAATATTTGAATTCCCTGTTGTGGCCAACACCCTTGGACCATGGTTTGAACAAATCTGAATCTTTACGATCTGTGAATGACTGCAATAGCAATATGATTTATACTGCGATTCTTTAATTTCTTGGTTTTTAAGACTTTTTTCTCATATTCTTATATTAATTCTGATCCTCTATTATGGCCCCATTCTACCCTAGGGAACCATGACTTAAAAAAATTATAATCTCCACTATCTTAGAGTGCTAGCATATTGATATGACTAATAACAGCCTTCCTGTTTTGGGTGAGATGCCCTGGGAACATGATTCAAACAAACTTGAATCTTCACCACCAGAGGTGCACTTTTTTGTGCACAATAAACATACAATTTCTTTCAGTGGGTGGCACTGTAACTCTCCACTTATCTATCCCGATTTTTTTTCAGACCTGTGCAAGCTATAGATCTGCAGCTACATCAGAGGATACTTGTACAAGTATATTAACATGATTAATACGACTTTTCACAGCCGGCCTGCAGCTTTAAAGAAAATTTTGAAAGATATTTTGGAAATCCTATATTTACTTATACAGAACTTTGACCCAATACTACAGACTCTTTTCCGTCCCAGTGGTTCTTGAGAATCTGTTGACATATACTGTGAAAATCTCAGGCTTAAAATTTGAAGACAACAACAAGGGGTTTAATTAATCTTCATCTACATGTTTGTTTGGCAGAAAAAGAACAGCTTCTTCTTTTTTAATAACATTTAATTCAGCACAAATTCTGATTTTTCTTATTTCATTAATCTAGATGCTAAATGACAGATTTCAGGCAGTCAGTCCTTTAGATCAGGTGAGCTAAAGACAGGTTCTATAAAGTTAGACCTTTAGATCAGGTAAGCTATGAGACAGGTTCCAGGCAGTCAGTCCTTTAGGTCAGGAGGGCTATAAGACAGATTCAAGTCAGTCAGACCTATAGTCAAGGTGAGCTAAAAGACAATTTCAAGTCAGTCAGATCTATAGACAAGGTGAGCTACAAGACAATTTCAAGTCAGTCAGACCTATAGACAAGGTGAGCTATGAGACAGATTCCAGGCAGTCAGACCTATAGACAAGGTGAAATATAAAACAAATTCTAGCCAGTCAGACCTATAGACAAGGTGAGCTTTAAAACAAATTCAAGTCAGTTAAACCTATAGACAAGGTGAGCTATAAGACAGATCCCAGGCAGTCACATCTTTAGATCAGGTTAGCTATAGGGACAGTTTCCAGGCTGTCAGACCTATAGACAAGGTGAGCTATGAGACAGATTCCAGACAGTCATATCTATAAACAAGGTGAGCTATAGGGACAGGTTCCAACTCGTCAGATCTTTAGATCAAGCAAGCTATAAAGACAGGTTCCACACAGTCAGACCTTAAGAAATTGTGAACTTTAAAGACAACTTTCAGGTAGTCAGACCTTCACATCAGGTGAGTGATAGGAAAAGGTTTCAGGCAGCCAAACTTTTATATGACAGCTTCCAAACGGCCAGACCTATTGTTGTTTAGAGGGAGCTTTTTATGGATATAGTTTGTTTCTTTAACTATAATTCCCTAATAAATATTTGACCTATCGGCAAAGGTTTGAACAAACTTGAATCCACGATTTATGAAGATGGCTTGCTACATATTATATGACTAATTGTTGAATTTATTTTACTTGTGAGACAGGATTTTTTTTATATTTTCAATCGTGCTTGGCACTCATGAAAATATCAAAGAATCCTGTCCCACTCATGAAATAAATTCCATATCTAACAACAAAACATTGAATATCCTCAATGTACACCACATGTGGATGCTTGCATATTATTATTATTAATATGACTAACTGAAGCCCTGCTGTTCTTACGAAAGAGAGTTTTAATGGTTGTTTTTTAAATATTCATTTCCTTTATAAATCTGCAGTCCCATCCTAGCCCCAGGGGCCATAAATTGAACAAACTGATCTACACTATATCAGGAATATCTCACTTAAGTTTTGTCTTTTCTGGTCCAGTAGTTCAAAGGAAGATATTCAAATGATGCCACCAAATGTTCAATATTGCTTCATAATCTCTTCTTAGAAGAGGATGTGGCTTCTTGACAGAAGGATGTTTTGTGGCAAGTAATGTTGAAATTGACCCAGTGTTTACAAATGCAAGACAAATGAACAGACAAACGACAAACACTTTTCAATCAGAAAAGCTCTGCAAGCCTTTAGCTCAGGTGAACTAAAAATTCAAAGACAATTTCCATATTATTTTATTTAACCACTAACGTCCTTATGTAGTCAATTTTCAATAAAATGAGGAAAGTCTTTGTTGTTATTATTCAGGAAGATTTTTTTTTATGAAGTTTGTCTTCATAAAGCTAAACTCAGAATGTTGAAAATCCATTTAAATGTGCCTTGTGTAAGTCATAATTCATTAAACACTTTTTAAAAATTTTGTTAAAAATTCATCAGGATAATTATGGAAAGCTAAAAAAATCAGATCAGACTTATTGAGGTACGTAATTTCTTCTATAAACCTAATGCTCCCTAATCATCAAGATTGATAAATGTTTAAAACTAGTCTGGAAAAAAAGCATGAACCTGACTTTATACATACATATTGTATGAATTTATGTTCATACTATATGTATGCCATGAATGTGTATACTATATATACATATAGTATGAATTTATCTCATTCAAAGACTCACTGAGCCAGTGATAAAAACAAATACCCTAAAATTCATTTCAAGAGTGATAGTGATAAGAAACTCTCTACAACATAAATAAAATTTGAGTATGATTATACAGTGTACTTCTTTTATTTATTTCTGAAATTAAATAAATAATTTTTATTCACACTCAGAATTTTTATTACAAAATTAAGATTATTAGTACTGTCTGTTACCTGCAGCAAATCTGAATGGACTTATTCTCCAACATCTTAAGTCAGTCATGTTGGAATTAAAATTAATCCCTACTATTACATTGTGAAAAAATAAAAAGCTGAGTATATTCTGTGACACAATTAACACTCAGTTTCTGTGACAATCTGTGAAATAAGAAAAAGTATGCTTAAAATGCTTTAAAAGAGAGACAACTCTCAGACTGGTTTACTATAAATATTCAATTTATTACTCAAAATAAAATGCCCAATGCTTTCAATTTTTGTTACAATTTGTTGACACTATTTCCACGAGAAAAGGTTAGAGTTCAAACTGATTCCATAATTAAATCAATGAGACTAAAATTTTGAGCATGATTATATATTCTTCAGTGTGAATATTTTGAAATCTTTGAATTTCAGTGGTTTCTCTCATTTTATAGTTTTATTTCATTGGAAATGACTTATTGAACCAATGTTTTCTTCTTGGAAAATTTAGTAACTTAATCCACATGCATTAAAAAATATCCCAGGGCTTTACTGTTCCTGTTGGTACAGGGTCTTGCACCCTTTCAATTTGGAATTTTAAGGACATACGCAACGTACCTTACCTACTGATATTTTTTCAAAATATTCTTAATTTAAGATCATAATGCCATCAGATGTTCATAGACAAAAAATCAGCATGCATTACCAGGGGTTTTGAAAAGATATCAATTGATGAAAATTCTTGTATAATTTAAAGAAAAATATACAA